AATGGTTTTAAACTAAGAGAAGGGAGATTCAGGTTAGATATTAGGAGAAAAATTTCCACTCAGAGGGTGGTGAGGCGCTGGCCCAGGTTGCCCAGAGAAGCGGTGGATGCCCCATCCCTGGAGGGGTTCAAGGCCAGGCTGGATGGGGCCCTGGGCAGCCTGCTCTAGTGGTTGGCAACCCTGCCCACAGCAGGGGGGTTGGAACTAAATGATCTTTAAGGTCCTTTTCAACCCAGGCCATTCTATGATTCTTGGATGCTCTAGGCTGGTGGACATAGGAGAAGCGGTGTGTGCCTTGGGGTGTTTGAAGTTGGAAAGGGCAGGATTTGTGCTGGGGTGGGGAGAGGAGAGGCAGGGTTTCCCAGGGGTAGGGCCTACCTGGGTAGGATGGGAAGTGTCCCAGGGGGCTGGGGGTGCCTTCCTTCCTAAGATAACTGGTAGAGATACCAGTGAGTGCCATGGGGCGCAGAAGTTTCCTTGGGCTTGGTGCTGAGACAGTGTTTGCTCTGAGAAGGAGTGGCTCAGGATTTGCTCTGCGTTTCTGAACAATTTCTCTGCCAGCAGCAGCAGCATGAGGACCTGTCCGCTAAGAAGCTGCGGCTGACCAAGCCCAGCAAGTCAGCGGCACTCCATGTCGACCTGTGCAAAGCCACCTCGCCCGCAGATGCCTTGCAGTACCTGCTCCAGTTTGCCAGGAAGCCTGTGGAAGTGGAGAGCGTGGAAGGGGTTGTCAGGATCCTCCTGGAGCATTATTACAAGGTGGGGAAGCTGGGAGCCCAGTGTGTTTCTGGAATCCTCCTTCTGGTCTTGTTTTCTTGGTGTTGCCTGTGGAATAGAGAGTCACAGGCTTCTGTGTTGCTGATTCAGGTGGCGACAGCCTGGGCTGTTAGAGGTCCTGTGTGAGGAGAGTGGGGGACCGTAGTCCTTTACTCGAGTGGTTTCTGATCATGTTACTTGGTCCCTTTGCTGATGGTTTCAGGAGCCTGTGACAGGGATGTGACTGTGTAAACCCTGCAGATGCCCTGCATGGTTTGTCTTAAATTAACAAGGGACAAAAGACATGACAAGAAGTTTTCCAGGGAACCCAGCTGTCCAAAGGTGCTTTATCTAAATCCTTCCTGACAGATGTTTCCTCACCTTGCTCATAATTTCCTCTAGCACTGGAGAAACTTTTTAGCTATTGGCTGTGCTGCGAGCAAAGCACTTTTAGAATGATGCTTCTGAAAAACTTTTCAACAAAAAAATCTTACAGCAGAATAACAAAAAAAAAAAAAAGCTTCATAGTATCCAGATACTGATCCTTCACTTGATAAAGCAAAACTTTATTGCAGCTGACAAATGTGCACTGTAGGCTGAAATATTTCTCATAGAAGTCCATGTGCTATTCTGGCTTTCTTTTTACAGTTGGATCTATTGTTCTTTGAACTTACACTAAAACTCTAAGCTGCATTTTATGTATTTCTGTACTTTACCTGTGTTGGCTTGTATGTTGAGACCGTTTTACATTTTTTTGATGGGAACTGATTTTTGTCATTGGACTAGTTCCCACTCAAAAGAGTGTACGACTTAAAGAACCTAACCTGTTTGTTCTTTGAAGAAAACTGTCATTCCTGATCAAGTAACGCAGGTTATTTGTGTTTGAGGTTTGTGTTGCAGCCTGTATTAGAAGAGACACTCTTAAATCTGCAGACGAGGTCACGTTTTCAAGTGCACAGCCTTTTGCAGAAACTAGCTTTTAAAAAGCATTGTTGTCCTTTAGCTGACATTATTTTACTTAAGGACAAAATTTTCTGAAGAACTGGTTTCTAAGTAGCTCCAGAAAACTTGCACTTGAACTGATATTTCAGAAACCTGATCCTGAAAGCTATGACTGTGGTGGAAGTTGTGTGATGATGCATTTGTTGTGTCATTGTTTTGTTTAAGGTGGTGCTGCAGCCTCCTGCTCCTTCATTCCTTTATGTTATGACAGGACAGTCCCCGAATGGTTCTGATGGCTTCTGAACAGAAAAATAATCTGGCTTTTTATTTTTTCTCAATTTTTCACCCATAGTTCCCATGGTCCTTCTGACAGGAAGAGGGAGAGGGTTGTCCTTTTATTAAAAGAACATGAGTAGTAGTGAGTGAACACCAAATGTATCATGCTGTGGAAATCTGTGCGTCCTACCACTGCTTTAAGCAGTCCAGCAACAGTAACTGTTGTTCAAGCACATAATTTCCACCCTGAAAAGAGAACATGCTTCTCAGCTCGGTTGAGAAAGAGATTACTCCCATGGGTATCATATTTGTCACTTTGGGGGGGGATGTGTGTCGCTGAAGTCTCTCCTAAACTGTTGAAAGTTGTGAAAGTTGTAACTAATATTTGTAATTGTAATATTTCTGCACCTCTGTGTTCAACATTGCACAACTGCTTGGTAAGATCTAAGTAAGAAATCCTGACTTCTTTTTATCTTTCTGCTCTGTATTGGATATCCTTTGGTAATTTGATGAAAGAGAGAGCTTCTAGTTATGACCAGAAATTCATTTAAAATGAATACTAATTTGTGAAGTTTATTTCTGACATAATCACCTGTGACAGCATTTGCTGTTGCTTAAATGAGCAGATCTATGCAACTAACATATCCTTCTATTATCTCTTTTTTACCTTGCTGTGTTGGGTTTCTTTCTTTTTTTCCTGTCAGATTGGCAAAATTACTCCCCACTGTTAAGAGCAGCAGTTGTTTTCTTTAGCCTGCAGACCCTGCTGCTTAGTAGAGGGCAAGAGACCATCAATCTCAGTTCATCTTCTGAAGTTCTCCCATTTGTTAATTTAAAAACTTGCAAAGATATTAACATGAATTTTCCAGCATCTTGAAAACCTGATTATTTAAACTTCAAATTTTCAAACAACATGAAGGTAATTTTGAGGAATTATTACTAAAAAGAATAATTTTGAAGTGTACTGGAAGCTGCCACATGAACATTGTAGGATGGTTGATGTTCTGTGGGGTGTGCTGTGGACATAGGGAGAGGGAAGGAGCCTGACAGTAAAATTCAGACCCTTGTGCTGAATTATATACAGGCCCTGCCTGTGTGTAGTGTTTTATGCTCTTCAAACTGGAAAATGAATTGGGGTTGTGCTGTTTTCCTTCCAGGAGAACGATGCCTCTGTAAGACTGAAGATTGCTTCCTTGCTGGGCTTGTTATCGAAGACTGCGGGATTTTCTCCAGACTGCATTGTGGATGATGCCATTAACACGCTTCAGAATGAGAGTAAGTCTCGCTTTTCAGGTGGTGCTTGAGATCAAAGCAGAATTGTTCAGTCTTTCAGCGTTTAGGGCAGTGGCAAGGCCCTTACATCTGAAGTGTATAATTGGGAATTGTTGCTGAGGGTAATTATTTTCTGCTTTTGTGAACGGTGACAGACAATACCATGTTTTGAGGAGGAGAAAAATGTTCCTCAGACCTGCCTATTGTATACCTGTGTTTTAAGTGAGCACGAGGTTTGCTTTTGTGACTCCGTGTGAGAGCCATGGCTTCTGAAGTGCTCTCTTTTGGAGGACAGTCTTGCTTAAAGTGGCACCTTCTCTGGAGTATTTTTCTTATCATGCTGTGGGCCAGCTCATCAGAGCTAATGGCGGAAGGCGTTAGTTTATTCATGTTGGATTTGTAATAGACAAGAAAGTATGGGTTGTCCTGTTTGTGGCTTCATTGAAGTCCATTTTTATTTTCTGTTCACAGTTTGTATGTGCTTTCCTTGATGCAGTTTAATTTTCTTTTTATGTCATTTATAGAGCCGTGGTATGGTTTGGGTCGGTAGGGACCTTTAAAGTTCATCGAGTCCAACCCCCCTGCCATGGGCAGGGACACCTCCCACTAGCCCAGGTTGCTCAAAGCCTCATCCAGCCTGGCCTTGAACCCCTCCAGGGATGGGGCATCCACAGCTTCTCTGGGCAACCTGGGCCTCACCACCCTCATCATAAAAAATTCCTTCCTTATGTCCATTTTAAGTCCACCGTCTTTCAGTTTAAAACCATTGCCACTTGTCCTGTCACTACAGGGCTTTGTAAAAAGTCTCTCTCCATCTTTCCTGTAAGCCTGTTTTATGTATTAAAAGGCTACAGTAAGGTCTCGCCAGAGCCTTCTCTTCTCCAGGCTGCACACCCCCAACTCTCTCAGCCTGTCCTCGCACGGGAGCTGCTCCAGCCCTCGCACCATCTCCGGGGCTCCTCTGGCCCCGCTCCAGCAGCTCCGTGTCTGTCCTGTGCTGAGGACCCCAGAGCTGGGTGCAGCCCCCCAGGGGGGGTCTCACCAGAGCAGAGCAGAGGGGGACAATCCCCTCCCTCGCCCTGCTGCTCATGCTGCTGGGGATGCCCCCAGGACATGGGGGGCTGCTGGGCTGCCAGCACACATTGCCGGCTCATTTGAGCTTCTCATCCACCAGCACCCCCAAGTCCTTCTCCTCAGGGCTGCTCTCAATCTGATCTGTTCATCCCCCAGTCCGTATGGATACCCCGACCCAAATGCAGGACCTTGCACTTGGCCTTGTTGCACTTCATGAAGTTCACACAGGCGCACTTCTCGAGCTTGTCCAGGTCCCTCAGATGTGTCAGCTGCACCACTCAGCTTGGTGTCATCTGCAGACTCAGTGAGGATGCACTCTATCTCACTGTCTGTGTAACTGATGAAGACATTAAATAGTATTGGTGGCTGTACGGACCCTTGAGGGACACCCCTCATTGCTGATTTCCACTTGGACACTGAGCCTTTGGCTGTGACTCTTTGCATGCAGATATCCACCCAATTCCTTATGCACCAAGTTATCCATCCATCAAACCCATATCCCTCCAACGTAGTGGTAAGAGTGTTGTGCTGGTCCAGGTGAAGAGCAGGCTAAACATGAGTTGGCAGCGAAGGCTCACTGTGTACCGGGCTGCATCCAAAGTGAACCCAGCAGATCAAGGGAGGAGGTTATTCCTTTTACTCAGCAATGGTTAGGCCACATCTGGAATACCACATCCAGTTTTGGGCTCCCCGGTGCCAGATTAAGTGCTGGTGAGGTTGAGTGAGTTCAGCAGAGGGTCACTAGGATGGTCAGTGGCTGGAGTACGTGATGTGCAAGAAAGAAGCTGAGGGAAATGGGCTTGTTCTGACCTTGAAAGGAGAAGGCTTCAGGGGGACCTTCCAACCAGAATGAGTCTGTGATTCTGTAGCTGGTGAGGAGCTCAATGAAGAGGTGTGTGACCTTTCACTGTTTTGTTTTTCAGAGTCTCACCAAGTTCTTGCTCAGCTGCTGGACACCCTGTTGGTGATTGGCACAAAACTCACAGAGAATCCATCTGTCAGGATGAGGCTGGTAGAGGTAGCCTGCAAGGTAAGATGGCCTCCCTGGGGCAAGAAATTTTTGTCACTGCCACAGGAAAAAAAGATGTAGTCAGTGTTTGGTTTATTTTCATTTTTCTCAACAAACTCTTACAATACTGTCATTTTTTAACTGCTAGGAATCTTTCTATGATTAGTTGTTTCGAAGGGGTGAAAGAACAGTAAAAATGCAGTTACATCTGTTCTTCTGTCCTACAGCATCTGACAGATTCTTCCCATGGTGTAAGAAATAAGTGTCTTCAGTTAATCGGCTGTCTTGGACCAGTGGAAAAAGGTGTTGCAAAAGAAGTTGAAAGCCAGGCTGCCAAAGATGTCCAGAAGATAATAGGAGATCATTTTAATGACCAGGACCCTCGTGTTAGGACTGCAGCTATAAAAGCCATGGTAAGTGTTGCCGGTACCGTGCAACAAACTGTTGGGGGATACATAAGGAAGCTGGTAGGGGGCTGCAAGATAATCCAGAGAGGTTTGGATTAGAGATTATTAAATTAATTTAGTAAGCATATCAAAATTATGTGGAAAAATGAGATAGGTCTTGGAATATGAGAGTGATGTGAGATATCAAAGGGCATTTTAGTGATTCGTAACAATTTCTGTTTCAGCTGTAGCTGAAGAAGCTTTTTAATTTGTTGACTTTTTTGAGTGTAGGTAGGCTCTTCTTTTCAGTGAGAAATCTGTATTTCTTGATTCAACATCAGTTACTACAATTACAATAAGCCACTAGTACTCCAAAACACAACAGATAGCTGCTTATGACAGGAAACCTGTGTAGTAAGTCCAGAAAGAATTGTGTTTGTTTTTAAAACAGCATTTATGTTTTGCCCCGTGGACACCTTCATTAACATTCTCTGACTGTTTATGAGGTTTACTGGTTTTTAGCTTTGCAGAAATGCAAGCAAAGACCACACATTGAGAATTTTGCTTAATGTGAGTTGCCTGTGAGTATGTGGGTACACAGAAGTTTCTCAAAGTTTATAACAGTATCTAACATGATGGTGTGAACAAGGATATTGGAGTTAGTGATACTGAACTCCAAACAAAGAAAGCAGGATGGATTTGAGGAGATCAGATTGGACTTGAATCTGTCTGGGGTCTCCCTCTGCTGGAAGTTGAATTTATCCTTCATTTTCATTCCATTCTGGTTTTTGTTGCTACAATTTTTTTTTAAAGACATTTGAGTGACTTTTACAATGGCATTCAACCAAGTGCATAGCAAGATGTATGACCTTGAGTTTATAATTACAACACAAAGTCAACTCTCTTTCTGCAGTTTAAAGCATGGAAGCACCCTGAATGAATTCAGGGTCACTAACCTCTTCTGGGGTTCTTGATCATGGTTTTCCTTGCTAGTGTGTGTGGCTCTTTGTTTTGTTTTGTTTTTCCTTGAATTTTGTCACTGGCATGCCCTGCTGTTGAAGTGGATGTAGAAAAGCAACTGTTTCCTTTCTTGTTGACAGTATTCAACCAGATATTATCCCTTTGTTTGCCAGATTCATGATACTACTTTATTTCAGATAGAAACAATGTTTAGTAGGACAGGTTTTATTATTCCTCTGGTTTGGTAATTGAAGAGGTTTGCAGGGCATAAAAATTCATTGGCAGTGCTACTCTTGGGTCCATGTTTCAGGACTGGTAGTGAACTAATTATTTGGAAGATACCTGTGTCTATTGTAATTGTAGTTGAATATGGCTAAACAGCTGTCTGAAGGTTGGGAGAATGGGCAGGCTGTATTTATATAAATTGTATTTTCCTAATCAATCAAAGAATGAATGGCTGTAAAGTTTAAAAAAATTATACTGAAGTCAAGATTATTATTTAACATACTTACGGCCAAGATAATGAGATATTTTAGTGATAGCAGCAATCAAGAGATGCAAGCAACTAAGTTTACTTAAAGTGGAAAAAACAGTGCTGAAAACTTAGTCTGTGTCACTTAAACCTATAGTTATACTTTTTTTTTTTCCATGTAGCTGCAGCTTCATGAAAGAGGATTAAAATTACAGCAGGCTATTTACAGTCAGGTAAACCTTGTATTAATTTGTATTTATTTGTTACTTGTTTGCATATCTTGCTTTTTAGATTCTGTGACAGTGTGCTTTGAGAGGAGGGTGCAGAACAGAGATGGAGTGTTGTGCACTTAGGTTGCCTGCGTTCCTTATTGTCCTATGGCAGTGGAAATAAAAATCTGTTCTGCATTTCATTGTGCATAAATGCACTAAAGCATATGCTTTGAGTGGAATATGTTATTTATTGGGATAATCATGGGACGAGGAAGGCACTATGTAATTTTTACTGTGATCTGGCAGTCTTGAAGTTTTAAACCCTGGTTCCTTGGAAAATACACAAAGCCTATGTTTATATCAATAAGGTTGTGCAGCTGAAGCCTGTATCAAATTAGTTCTAGTACAGATTCACGTTTCATGCTTCCTGCGTAGTACAGGCAATTCTGGAGTTTTACACCGTGTTCCTGATTGACTTTGTTAGAACTAGTCCACTCAATCAAACTTGGAAATCTAGGGAGTAGAAGGGAAGACTGAGTTTTATAATCTGTCCTAAATGATTGATGGTAAGGATAGTAAATGCAGAGTGGAAAGTGAATGACAGCTCAGGTGGAGATGTTCCCTGTATATTGGACCGTGAATCTTCTTTCAGGCCTGCAAACTGTTGGCAGATGATTACGAGCAAGTGCGCAGCGCTGCAGTTCAGCTCATTTGGGTCCTCAGTCAACTTTACCCTGAAAGGTATGTTTTGTATGCAAAGCGACTCAAAGTATTGGCATAGTAATCATCCTAATCCTGAGAGTTTTGCGCTAGTAAATCTCAGGAGTAGCAGTTAGAAAATTACATGTATGAATTACTGATACCTGATAAGAATGCACTGATCTAGTTGAAAATTTGGTTTTTGATATTTGTTGCGCATCCACAAGTTCAGCATAGTTGTTTCTTGCTCGATGCATCCAGCATGGCATAAGATTGGCGTGACTAATTTATGTTTCTCTGTGTTAGCATCGTCCCCATTCCTTCTTCTAATGAGGAAATTCGCTTGGTTGATGATGCATTTGGAAAAATTTGTCATATGGTTAGTGATGGTTCCTGGGTTGTTAGAGTACAAGCTGCTAAGTTATTGGTAAGTTTTTCTTTATCGAAAAATAGTTCATCTTATGTTACTTTTCATGTATATTTGAAAAGAAATGGGAGGATGTTTAAAAACTGTATAGGTAAATTTCTACCAGAATTCTGAGAAAAAAGAAATGAGAGAGGTTGAGGATATCCAAAAGTTTCTCAGCTGAACTCTGCAGTCGTTCTTTCCTTGAGAGCAGAGGGTTGGGTATCTAAGACAAAAAAAAAAAGTACTTGTCATAATTCCCTCCCTCTACTTCCCCAGCACTGGACACGTAAACTAACTGAACTCAAGAAAGACTGTATTAACCTCAGTGTGAAAATGAGATGTCCTGACCATCTTAAGTAGAATTATTTTAACTCTGACATACGGTGGTGTCAAGTGTTGTGTAAAGCTGTTAGAATGGGTGGATAAGATTGGATGCCGTGTTGGGATAAATCAGGAAATTATATGGTATAATTTAGAATAATCCAGTTTCTTCCTTTTGATTTTTTTTTTTCATTTTCTTCAGGGTTCTATGCAACAAGTTAGCTCCCATTTCTTAGAGCAGACCCTTGACAAGAAGCTCATGTCAGATCTGAGGGTATGTAAATGTTTGGGTTTGGTTTTACTGGGTGTAGTGTACTAAAATCACACAGCAGGTATGTTAATGTTGAGTGTGTTTGTTTACCAGGTCCTTGCCTCAGGGCTGCTGAGAGTGAATTGATGATGACAGGTTTTCTTTTAGGTTAAAGTCAATGAAGCAATTGCTAGTTATAGGTTTCATTAGCCGAGCATGTAATAGACAGCTCTAGGCTATTCAGGTTTTGCAGATAAGAGGTAAACGTTCTTCTGACATTCTTTTGGCTAAAAGCTTTATTTCTTGTGTACGGGAAAGATTCCATCCTAGTTCTAGGAGCAAGGTTATGGACACATCCTGCACGATCTGACTGGTAGACTTAGACTTTTCAAGAGACATTAGTAGCCAGAGGCTGTGACTCCTGAGCCTACAAGCAAAACTTTTCAATAAAATTTCTTCCTTAAGCAACTTACTCGAAGTATTATGCTTAGTTTTTCTGTCTACTAAAGAATGACAACGTTAGAGCTGCTAGTTTTTGTGGGCAGCTTTTTAAAGTCCATTGAAGAATGTGTACCACAGCTTTCTTTACAATGTGGGGGGAAAGGAGATGGACTAGCAAGCATGCTGAGTGTAGATCCCATTTTACGTGTTGCTGAATTATTTAAAGTATCAATAGTCGTTAAAGTATTTAATTGCAGTTTAACAAGTTGAACTGCAACACTTTAGTATTTGTTTTTGCAGGTCAGTTGTTAGATCCTTCACTAGATGGGCCTTTGCGCTGACTCAGTTTGGCTGTTCTAATAATGGTTGTCTAAGAATATGTTAATTAAAATATATTCATTACTATCCTTTTCCAACATCAAAAGTACAAAGAGTTACTGGCAATTAGAAATACTCATAGAAGAGAAGGTATTATTTGCTTCTGTTAGCATTTGCATGTCTCTGTCAGTGCCTAAGCCTCTAGCTACATCTATTTTCAAATCCAAGAAAGCCATTTAGTATTTTTTTTTTTGGTCATCTTTAAAGTTTACTGTGGTTGTAACTGAAAATCTTGTTTGAACAGAGGAAGCGCACTGCACATGAACGTGCCAAAGAACTCTACAGCTCTGGGGAGTTTTCAAGTGGCAGAAAATGGGGAGATGATGCTCCCAAAGAAGAAATTGATACAGGTGCTGTAAACTTGATTGAATCAGGAGCTTGTGGAGCCTTTGTTCATGGCCTGGAAGATGAGATGTATGGTGAGTGCTAATTTATTATGGAGTGACTAAAGGAGATGTGTCTTGGCTAATAGGCTTTGGATTTTGGGAGGGGATTTTTGGGTCAAAATAGATCACTTGACTGTTGTGTTTGGGTTTTTTTAACAAATCATGACTTCAGGGGGGTGGTTTTTATTCCATTGTGATCTCTGTTACAGCACTTGTTTCGAAGATGCTACAGTGTTGCACAGAATTTTGGATAGAAATGTTCCGTTGAGTAGCCAAAACCAAATATATAAATAAAATATATAAATGGTGAAGTTTTAGTAAAGTATCTGGTAAGAAGTTGTTGCATATGCTATTCAGAAACCCACTGGGGTTAGCATTAGTTGCTGCTGTTTGAAATTGGTGTTTTCTCTGCAGGAAGGAAAATAAAATTTTATAGAACTTGGTGTTTAATCCATGGCACTACAAGGAACCTGTGTCTATGGAGCTCAGTAATCACTCATTTTATAAACATAGCAGCTTCCATCTGATCAAAGGTTAGAACTAGTAGAGACAAACCCACATATTTTTCAAAATATTTTAGAATCCAACAGCTACAACAAGCAGAAGTTTTCTAATTTCCAACCCAATTTTATCCATAGCCAATTTATACCCATTTGTTCTTAGCCAGTGGGAGGTTTCAGATTAAATAGTTGTCGCTTCTCTCAGGAACTGACTTCCCTAATGAATTAACAGGCAGCTTTCATTTTGCAAGGGCCTCAACAGGCTAGGTTTCTTTTAGCCTCTGCTGATACAAAAGCTTTCCTCTTGGCTAGCTAGAATGCATTCTTCTTGAAAACTGGTGACTGGATCTGTGTGTTTTCAGGTACTTAAATTTCAGATGTGGTCTTGCTTACATTTTTAGCAATGTTATTGGTAATTCTTTTTCTTCAATGGAAGTACTTATGTTCTAAGATCCCATTTACCTGTCCCACAGTGCTATTGTGTTGATCTTTTGCTACGATGGATTTGGAAGCCGTAGTCTCTTTCCAGCAGATTAGATCTGATCTGTTCCTTTAAACAGGTTGGATTATGAGTGTCAAACTGGAACACAGGCGTTCTTGAGCTCCTCCTAGGTTTGGCTGTAGCATTGAGCGTGCTGATGGCCTCAGGGGAGTCTGTGTGCTACCCTTTCCAGACCAACTTTTCTGTGCTAAAGTGTAAATTTATATTTCTTAAGCCTGGTATTTGCGTAAAACCATGAAAATGCTGAGCTGTGAATGTTGTTCGTGAATTTACTTTTAATGTTGCTGGAAAGATGAGGCTAAAATGGAAAGTACAAAACCACCGTAACAAAATATTGCTGCAGATGGTGTTGTGAAGTTGGTTTATTGTTCCATGACTCCTGCAAATAAAAACACATTGTCCTAATAGCTAAACTCTTCCCAAAGCTTGAAAATGCAACTTTGTGTTTTTTCTAACAGCAAAAAAAATTTTTCGTTGGCTCAGTCCACTGACCTGTGAAACATTCTCCAGTTTGTTGTGCCATAGATCTTGTGACAGTCTGGTGCTACTGGGGAATGTTGATAAAAGGGACAGATGTGGAACATACACAGATCTTGGAATAATGTAGATCTGTCTCCCTCCACTGCAGCATTTTTAAATACCGCTGAGCTCTCTTCTTCCTTACTTGCAGTGCTGCTTCATTTCTTGAATTCCGTGTTGTCACTTAAATCTAAATTAGCGTGTCAGTTTATGAAAGCAGTAGTGGCAAAATGGCTTTCTTCTCTAATACCTTGGTCTTAATGACTGCAGAGACTCGTTGTGACAAGAGCTTCGTTACTGAATAAGCACGGGTCTTGCTGTGTTTGCATTTTTCTAGTTAATCAGAATCATCAGGAATCAAATTTGTTCTTTAAGAACAATAGGCCTAAAAGCTACACACGAGTTTAAGTAAATGTTTTCAAGATGAGCTAATTTGAATGAAAAATAGAAGTGATGTTTAAAACAATAATGTTTGCAAGACATCAGATTAATTCTTATTTTTATGATCCCGGCACATAAATGTTATGGAAGCTAGTGAGGATGGCTGCAGGGAAGAGGCTCTCATCTCCACTTAAGCTTGTTATATTTGGGTATTCTTCAAATTCCTGCTTTGTTTTACAGCGTGAATACACTCTGGACTCCTTTTGATGCTTTTTTCCTTAAATTCTGAGTAATTTTAATAAGTAGGTGGCACTTTTTTCCTTTCTGTTGAGGAATCCGAAGTCACGAAGCAGAGGAATTTCATTCTGTTTACTGCTGAAATGCTGATGCTATGGGGCTTTTCAGCGATTCATAAAGTGCTTTGTAGCAAGTAAAAAATGCAGTGAATGCTCTGTTCAATTAAAATGTCAGGAAGAATAAAACAAGATGAATTTAAATATCTAAATGAGTTTGCTTAAGATAACAGGGTTAATGCCATACTTGCAAAATGTGCTATAACATTTATTGCTGGATAGGAGACCTGTTTTTCACCTGCAGTCCCTCTGCAGATGCTTAGGACAGCAGCACGCGCCGTATTAGAGGTGAAGCTTTTGATTTGAAGACTTGCCTGTCCCTAAGGGCCTGGGTCCTTGCTTAGTATCCATCGTCCTCCGGTTTTTCTTAGCATCTCCTGTCCTTAGCCCAGTCCTTGAATAAAATGAGGCCTGGCTGTTGGGTGGTATGACCCTTTACAGGGCAGTAACAATTAATTCCATCCCTCTCTTTTAATAGAGGTTCGGATCTCTGCGGTTGAAGCTCTCTGTATGTTGGCTCAGTCCTCACCTTCTTTTGCGGAGAAGTGCCTGGATTTTTTGGTTGACATGTTTAATGATGAAATTGAGGAGGTGAGATTGCAGTCAATACACACCATGAGAAAAATTTCCAACAACATCACGCTGCGGGAAGACCAGCTGGATACTGTGTTAGCCGTCTTGGAGGTAAGAAATTCTCGAGGAGGGAAAAAATGTGTTTAATTTTAAAATGCTAATCAGCCCTTTCTTCTGAGCTGAAACAGTCGACCTTTTTTGTTGTTGTTTTCTCTTCTTTAAAGGCTCCCAAAGGCTGCTAATGTCTAGTAGCTTCTAATCTCCAGGACAACAGAATTACTTTTGAAATAAGATGGATTTTGGATAAAAACTCTTCACTTGATCACTGTGCTGTTGCCTCGTGTTATTTCCCTTTCTCTTTGTTTTGTGGTCCAGCACTCTGCACCACTTCATGCTGAGTACAACTTCATTTTCCTTCTGTTTCCTTTGTTCAGCTGCTTTGGCAGCAGAGCCAGGGCACAGGCCTGAGGTCTCTCTTCTGGCTGTTCAGGGGGTTTATTAGCAGTAAAGTTTTGGCCTTTCCCAACCAGTCAGTGCTCAGCCAGGATCCTGGGGACAGTGTGAGTCCGCTGCCGTTCCTGGTTGACAGGGATGATCCAGGAAGGGGAAGAGGTTTCACCTCTATGACCAGTGCTGTCCGAAACTGCTTCCCCCCAGACCTGATTTATTTGCTGAGTTACAGCCCTTGAGGCGTGGATTTTTGGATTCTGCCACATGTGGTAGGCAAGCTTCTGGTTCTTTTGGGTAGTGTCGCAGCCTCGGTTGGTGCTGCAAATCTACAATTTATGTCTTTTCACCTGCTGTTTGCTTGACCCAGGGCAAGAGTGGCTTCTTTCAGTTGTGCCCCAGGAAGAAGCAACCTAACCACCCTATTTTATCAGTCTAACAAATGCTATGGAACATGGTCTGAATTTGCAAACACAGCAACGAATTTTAGGCGCCTCAGATTTTTATGTAGTTGATTTATGTTTGTTCAAGCTGAGGACTTGTGCATCAAGGTATAAAAACATTGTAGTTAGACTGGGGTTCTGTCTTACACTTCTGTGCTGACTTATCATGGATGATAAATCATACATGTATTATAAAATTTATTTTATTTTCATATATTAGGGTAGTAAAGTGTGAGAGTGATTGACATTTTAATGGATTTGTGTGATTCTGAAGGGTGTTTGCTTGCTTTCTGTAAAATCATAGAATCATATCACAGAATGGTTTGGGTTGGAAGGGATCTTAAAGACCAACCCCCCTGCCATGGGCAGGGACACCTCCCACTATCCCAGGTTGCCCAAAGCCTCATCCAGCCTGGCCTTGAACCCCTCCAGGGATGGGGCATCTACAGCTTCTCTGGGCAACCTGGGCTACTGCCTCACCACCCTCACAAGAAAACATTTCTTCCTAATATCTGATCTAAATCTACCCTCTCTCAGCTTGGAACCATTACCCCTTGTCCTGTCACTGCACTCCCATCTTCCAGTACCAAAATAAAGGATATGGAAAAATAACATTAACTTTGGTGCCTAAATTTGTTCCGAGAATGTGAATATGGAACAGTTGGGTGCAGGGATAACTTCTGTTTTTACCCCACTGCTTTGACTTTATCTGAATAACTCTCCCAGCTACTCTTTGCTTTTCTGACCAGGCTTAGGATTCTGTTTTCCCTGTTGATCTCTGTTTCTGTTGAGTTGTGCTCCTCTCTGTTCCTTCATAGACTTTTGCCTTGTGTGCTTCCATACAGCCCTTCCAGTGGTTTGTGCAATTCACCTGGAGTATTTCATCTCCTTCATGATTTAATTCCAGTCCTTAGTGTACGTCTTCTCTTTTGGTCGTAGTCTGCCTTCCACCACCAAAAATAAGGAAGAGCAGAGCAGCCCTGCTGTGCTTTTCTCCTTTATCTTTTGTGTGTGTTGGCCATCATTTAAGAGCCTTTACTGCTTTTTTCTTCTGTTGTGTACAGCAATGATGAATGAACTGTTGATACTTAGCAAACTATAATTAAAAAAAGAAAAAAAATCCACCACTGAAATGCATCCGGTTCTTGTATCCTGTCAGATTTTCACACTATCCAGCAGTGCCACACAAATGCTGATAGCAAGGAAGTATAATACATTGATAGGGAACAGCAAGGTGTTTTTTGCCAGAAGGAATGTCATTAATTAAGCTGTAGTTCAGCCACTGCACTTCTGAAAATCCTGCTTGGAGAGTGCGTAAGCTCCGCTGTAAGTCACCCTGGCCTGAAAAATAAAATGGTGTAATGTGACTTTAGAAGTGGTACCTTAGGGATCTCCTGCAATCATAACAAAGCTCCTGACCCAACTTGTAAGAGTGTGGTGTTTTTTTTTTTGTGGTTTTTTTTGTGGGTTTTTTTTTTGTTATTGACTGTCTATAAACCCATAGTTAGGTCAAGTTCTTTTATCCTGTAGACGATATCAGTTAATCGAGTCTGTTCTTGGCACTTACACAAACCCTCTGGAGGCTGGTGACTGGGTTCAAGGCTTGTGGAATTGAGCTTCAACTGTTGAATGATAAAAGCCTTCTCCAAAGAGGTCGAAACAACCTTTTGGTGATTGTTCTGCTGAGTTACTTAGCACTTTCCATTTTTGTCATTGCCTATGCCCAAGGGTAACAGCATCACCCAAAGCAGAGATTCTTGCTCTGCCTGAGCAGGTGAGCGGTGAAGCAGTTCCCGTTCATTCCAGTAAATGAAGCACGTGGGTGGATGAGACCAGCAGGAAACCCTGCAGCAGTTTCTTGCTCTGTACTTCATCTGTGCTTAGCTATGATAACTAGAAACCTTTGCTGTTTTTCAGATGCCTCTAGTATTAATTCAGCCAAGGAACAGGAACCGCTGCCTTTAAAGTAAATGCAAATGCAGGTATATCTTCTCTCTCAGCACCCAAAGGTGTCTGTGTTGGTTTTTTTTTTAAGGATTCTTCAAGGGACATTCGGGAAGCACTTCATGAACTGTTGTGTTGCACCAATGTCTCGACTAAAGAAGGCATCCATCTTGCACTGGTGGAGCTGCTGAAGAACCTAACTAAATATCCCACAGACAGAGAATCCATATGGAAGTGAGTGTGCTCAGCGTCCTCGTGTGTCTACTTATTTTCCTGTTCTTCTTAGTAATTGAGGCGTTAGGTGAATATTGAGCTGGCTAAGGAGGTAACAGGTATTGCAGGTATACAATGCTGTTATTCTATATGTATTTGGAATAGTGGCTATACTGAGCATTGTACATACCCATGACTGATGTAGAAACTCTGTATTGTTCTTGTTTGTTGATACTTGTACTGGGAATCCAGAACTGGTGACCACTCCTGGAAATAGCTCTCTATTATAAGCACTCAAAACATTCCTACAAAAGAGGAATTCAACCTTCAGTTTAAAACCTCATCTCTTAGAATCATAGAATCACAGAGTGGTTTGGGTTGGAAGGGACCTTAAAGATCATCTCGTTCCACCCCCCTGCCATGGGCAGGGACACCTCCCACTAGCCCAGGTTGCTCAAAGCCTCATCCAGCCTGGCCTTGAACACCTCTAGGGATGGGGCAATCTCTTCAATGCAGCTAATGTTTTGTGCTTGACACTGCGTTAAATAGGAACATTTACCTGCAGTTGATCGTATCAGTTGTGACAAGTGGATTGCCTGTGTGGCATTGTGCTGTTGGAGTGACTTTTCCTGGCTGAAAAACAGTAATGAACATTTATGTGGGTTTTTTTGGTTGTTCAGTGGAAGCAACAAAGGAGGTGATGCTCCAGCACACATGGTTTGAGATGGAATTCTTGGGTATTATTGGAAACACTTATTTTAGTCTGCTTTGTCTTCCAGTGTGCTCTTACATTGTTTTTGGAGTTTGGGGTTTTTGGGTTTTGTTATTTGGTTGGGTTTTTACCTCTTTACTCCCTTATTTCTGAAGAAGAAAATACGCTCATTTGTTAGCATTTAGTATGAAAGCTTTTCTTGGCTTGTACAGCTCCGGGTGTTAAGTATTTCTGGGGCAATTTAAGTAAAAAATTTTTGTTACTGCTACTTTTTCAAGCTGTCTTCTCAGTTTTCTTGGATCCTACCAAATATTAATGCAAATACTCAGCCATGAAGAGACACTGTTTCCATGAGTTTGCCCCTATGCTTGGACAGCAAGATTTTGATGCCAACCAGCGCCTCAAAGTGCTCCTGCAACATAAAGTAATAAAGCTTTAAAATGTTGTATTTTGCAATCTACGTGTTTACTAAGAAATATTTCAATCTGTGTCTTTTCAGATGCTTGAAGTTCTTGGGCAGCAGGCATCCCACTTTGGTGCTGCCGTTAGTCCCGGAGCTGCTGAGCACACATCCGTTCTTTGACACTCCAGAACCAGACATGGACGACCCAGCCTGTATCTTTCATGAAGCCAGTTGATAGAATTCATAGAATCATAGAATCATTCAGGTTGGAAAAGACGTCAAGGATCATCAAGTCCAACCAATTGTTTTGATTGTGATAGATTTTATTCATATTTTTCTGCTGCTCACATTTGTTAAACCGTTTCGAACTGTAGCAGAGAACCCTGTAGCTATTTCTGAATCCCTTTGCCACTTAGTTTTATTACTCAGCAAGCGATGGAGTAACTGTTATCTGGAACCATCTTCATAAATGCCAGTGTGGTAGAATTGGCTGGGTTTTATGCTGTGATGAGTAATCTGTTTATCAAGCAATTTGTCAAGGTTTAGGCTTTGCGGATGAGTCCTTTGATGTGAAAACATTTGTCAAGTTTGCACTGATTTTGAGGATGCTTTAGCTTTTAAATAGGAAGAATGGTTATCCTTGGCTGTTTTCTTTTTTGGTAAAACTTCTGCTATCCTCGCAGTTGTGCAGTGTATAGAGCAGCACCATCTCTTAGCCCAGCAGTGGCTGAATCCCCATAATGCCATAGATTTATCATCTTTTTGAAATAATTCCAAAACAGAAATCCTTATGTTAATGTTAGCTTTTCTGGTGCTTTAGAATACAAACTATTATTGTTATACCCTTATCCTTAACAATAGGAGATGCCTTGGAAATGTGAAATACCCTTTTTCCATTGTTCATTCTCCTTGCTTCCCTTCTGTGCAGCTGCAGAATGTAATGTTATTTCTGATACATGCTGAGCGATGTTAGACTGGAACAACTCTCTTCCTCTTTGAAGCTGCTCCTTCTTTCTCTCACTAGTCACAGGCCATCAGCTAGTACTTCTATACAGATTAAATAAATACCTTGTGAGAATTGAAAAGGGCTAGAATCAGATGGAGAGAAAGATAATCCCTAATTAGATAGCTGAGAAATAATTGGAGTAAATTTGCCCTATGAGTTGAGAATTGAAGGAACACTGTGGCAGGGAGAAAGCTGTTGTTTAGCTCAATGTACCTTCTCGTCCTGAACCAAAAAATATTATTTGAGAGAAAGTTCTGGAGGTAACTTGCCACCAAATTTTATGGAGATAAATTATGTGAAAGACAGACCTGGGAGCCAGAAGCTAGAAGGTAGAACTGAATGGTGTGTTTCTAGTGTAAACTGTTAACTAAAAATATAATTTTGTTTTATTCAAAGCACTGAACAAATTTGAATCGGATTAGTTGAATAGCTTCAGCTGAAAATTTGGAAGAATTTTGCGCAAACAGGAGAAGTTGGTTCGTTAAGTGGAAGCTGGGCAGTAGAAGATTTTTCAGGAGGTGAGAAGCATGGGTACAGTCCCTTGTGCGGCTGAACCTACTTCTTCCCTGTGCAGGCGAGAGCCCAGGTGATCACAGGCTTTGCAGTGGGATCCTTTTACACTCCCCTGTTAGAGATCTAATGCTTGAGGTCACCCTCTTACTGGTGAGTGCCCCAGCCTCTGGGCTAACTGATTAAAGCCTTTAGTATTTCTCTGGCACTCAGATTGTGAAAATGGGTTTTCTATTCCAGAATTACCTTCCCATGTTTGATTCTTTAGTTTAAGTCTAAGAGGGATGTTTTTCAAGCCATCACAGGAAATGCAGCAATTTTTCAAAGAGTTGGGGGAAAATGTTTAATTTTAGGTGGTGTTTGCATACCAAACTGGTAAGCACAGTGTAAGCTTTGAGGAAGAGAGAAACTCCACCTGATGAGCGTGTTCTGTATTTATAATTCCTGGTTCCTATCTTTTATGTTGCCAGTGTTGGTGGTAACATCCTTCCTCCAATATGGCCCATCCTGTAATGTTTGTGCTTTGTACTCGGTTTTCATCTGCTCAGGCAGCTGCCTCTTTGGGTTTTGCTCAACATTCTCCAACTGTAAAGAACTTCCCAAACAATCTCTAGGAAAGAAAGGGTTGTTGAGTTGTTGTTTTAACTCGCCATCCCCAAGGAGCTCTTCTTGCTGTCGTTTATTTTTTCTTTAACAATCCATTTCAATAGACATTGCTGTTCTGGTTCTGATTTTTAACGCTGCTAAAAGTTGCCCAACAATGCCTGCCCTGTTCTCGGATCATACATTCAGACATTACGCCTATCTTCGGGACAGTCTCTCTCATCTGGTCCCTCCATTAAGAGTAAGTTGAACCAGTTGGGTTTGCATTTGGGCACTCTGTTATGAATATTGCTGCTCTCTTCCATGTCTATCAGTGTGTAACACTTCCACTCTAAAATTTTTTTCTCCCAAGTTCCAAGTGAATGAATATTAAAATGTACATTAAGTAACAAAAGCCAAATATTGTTACAATACAGATTTTGTAATATTTTGGGGAGAATAATAACATTATTGCTCTCAGGAGAGAATAGCACATAGTTTGCTGGTTAGGAAAGAATCCTGGGAGGGCAGGATTCCTGGGAGCTTTCTGGAGCTCTGACTGTGTGGGGAAGGGGAGAAGCCTTTGTAGATCCTCCTACATTGGACTTTTGTCCTATCGAGTGGTTTACTCTGGGGTGAGATGTGTTCCCTGCTGCTTTGAAGCTTGTTTTTCCTGCATGGAAGTACAGGTGGGAATGAAGTTGGTTGTAAGTCTTACTACAGTTCATAAAATGAAGTGTGGTTTGTGTGGTCTTGGACTTCCCAGTGCCATTGTTAACAGATGAGGAAGATGTTTCCCTTAAAGTGATGTTGAAGTTAAACCTGAAGATCTCTAGCTGTAAGTGGATGACAAAGTGGAGAGTATTAACTAACAAAGATAAAAGATGAAGACTTGAAATCCTTAATATAAATTTTGAATTTGAGAAATAAAGCAGAGCTCTCAATTGATAGTTGGTAAATGTTGTGGCCACATTTTGCAATGTTGTTATTTGTGTTAGACTTTTCAGTATGCGTGTTTCTTCTTGCTTAGTTGCCAGGTAGAAAGCTGGTGTCCTCCCCAGTCTCTCCCAGTATTACACCGCATGAAGATCCTTCCCAGCAGTTCTTGCATCAAAGCCTGGAGAGAGTTTACAACCTGCAGCACCTTGACCCGCAGGGCATACAGGAGCTGCTGGAATTTACCATCCGGTAAGGCTGCAAGCTGACCTGTTCGTGGGAAGATCCGTTACGATTCCCAGTTTCTCTGAAGCAGGTGCTTTGCTTCTGAATATCAGCGTTGGACTTTGCCATCAGGCACTTAGTCTGAGCCGCCTTCTAGAGAGCATTGGGATAAAACAGCCTGTTTGAAACAAAACTGGGGGTCTCAGCTCTGGCTCTGCCCCACTGAATAATCTGTGTGGGTCTTGAGGGAACACCTTTCCAGAGCACGGTAAGAGTCAGGTAATGGTGCTGCACTTGGACTGTTCGCTTGTGGTAAAATACGCTTTTGTTTTTTAAGGGTGACAGCCTTGTGTGTCACTCTTAGTTCTCTGTCTCTGTATAAGGCCCTCATTTTGATCATATTATTTTTAATGTATGTACAAAGGGGTTTTTTGTTTTCATTTTTTTGAGAAGAGAGAGGTTGTCCCCTTTGCTTCTCCAATTTCCACATCCTGTGGCCTTTCATCCAGCACGAGAGGACCTGCTTCTGGTGCTTTGTTGGGTTCTTAGCACCAGTCCCGTTTATAAAGGACTTTGGTGTTCTTCGTCAGTTTGAAAATCAAAGAGATTTTCCTGGAGCAGACAGTATTACTGCGTGTTGCTGTCTGCTGTTGTATAGATAAGGGGGTACAGGATAGCTTCTAGATGTGGGTTTTATGCTTCCATTTCATCTCTGGACTGATTCACACAAATGAAACACTTGAAAAAGATCCTTCCAGTATGATTCCTCTCCTTGTAAAGAGGAAAAGAGCCTTATTTTGAGAGTTAGAAAAACAATCTAAAATGCTTTGTTTGGAATATAGAATTCCAAAAAGCTTTATTTTTTTTTTTCCTTCCTCCAAAATAGCTGCCTCTTGTGTATGTGTAGCTGTAAATCGTTTTCACACCCACCTGCAGTGAAAAAAAAAAAGTGTGTTCCTCACTGAAAACCCAACTGTGGGAACTTTATGGTTTGTCCTCAGCTGTTTTGAAGCTACTATGTGCAGCCTAAAAGATCTGAAAGCATTTAATGCACTAAACACTTGAAACAGGTGATCTCTTGGCAGAGCATCCAGAATCTTACAGGCACAATGAAGGTCTGGAAACCTCACAGGCTGTGAATGTTTTCGATTTTGAGTGTAGGAATCGTGCTGGAGAGGGCTGCATGCGTAACTTATGTGCAGTGAAGGACAGTAACGCTTTGGAGTTGATGGAAATTCTTAGCTTGGCTTTTTTCCTGCTGGGATCACCCCCCAGGAACCGTACTAAGCCAGGTGATGTTTTCCACCTTTAAAAGGAGGGAGGATTTAAGACAAAACCAAAAGAAGTGTTAAAGGTTATTTTTCAGAGGGCAAGAGTTTCCTGCACCAACAGTTTGGTTGCTGAGAGGAGAGGGACAGAAGAAGCTCACAGCCATGGATTCTGCGGTGGGACATAACTCCCTCCTCCTTTTTCATGACTGTTGTCAGGGGAAGCGGAGCAGACCTCGTGGAGCTGGTGTCTGCTTGGGACTGTGTTTCTAACCACACTGAAGACTGATGCTTTTCCCCCAGGCTCTGCAGCTGAAACTGCAAGACAGGCTTTTCAGCAAATTGGTCTTTGTGGTTTAGTTTCTCCATCTATACAACAGGATTTTTTATTTTTGCCCTTCAGGAATGTTGAAATCTGTTTAAGATTTGTAAGGAAATAGAATTAGTGGAATTGGGAACCATAGAAGACTGGGAAATGGAATATCTGCCTCGCTGCTAGCTGAGGGATGACATCCTGTTCCGCGTTAGCGTGTTGTGATGCATTAAGCATGACATGGGAATTGAGTGCCCAGGAGTTTGTTCTTTTCTCTCTGGGAAAAGATGAAATGGAGTCACTATGTAGGGCTCAGGCTGGCTCTGCTGCTGCTGCTCTGAAGGAAGGCACAGCCTCTCTGCTTAGGAGAGATTTTCTTTGGCTACAAATTATACAGATAATCTCATGGATTTTTTAAAATGTGTCAGTGCTCAGCAGCCTTCTGGTTTGGAAGAGTCAAAGTTTCAGAATCGCATCATAAATGCAAAGATAAATCTAAAACAAAAAGGAAAGGGTCATCTGAAGAAAAGCCATTCTTTTTAACAATACCCTAGGAAATGGGGGAGTGACAATTTTAGTACACTTGGCAAATATACAGAGAAGAGAGGCATGTTGAATCCACATCATCCAACCTATTTTCATTTCTATAACAAAAAATGAGTTTTGTTTTCTTAATACACATTTTTGATGTTAAAATGTCTCTAAGAGTAGAGAACTAAAGCCTTTTTGGGTTCCATTAACAATTTTTTTTTTTTTTGTGAAGTTAAAAGCTGCTTTTATTGCTGTAGGATTTCACAGAAATACTTATACCAGACATCACACAACAGCTAGTTGGGCAAATATCAGTGCATCAGATTTCAGCTTGTATTAAAAAGGCAGCTAAATTTCAAATATGCTCGTTTGTGTCAGCCTGACATGTTCCAAACAACCTTTCCTAGCCAACATGAAGAGTTAGATTTCCCAGCAGGGTAACGCAAATGGGTCGTTAGCTGCTGGAGAAGTCTGGAGCGTTTTAAGTTAAATCTGGAACTGCTACACTGTATGGTTCCCATAGGGTTGCAGAGTAACGTGGGTTGACAGCCTTACTGCTTCCACTGCTGGGCTCGTGTCAGCCTCCAGGAAGAAAGGAGATGCCAAGTCCCAAGGTGCAAACTGGTTTGTAGCGCGTGTTTTGCCACTGTTTGTGCTGCTTACTCTTAAGGATAAGAAAAAAAAAAAAAAAGATGCAGAAATACCTGGCTTCATCGTTGCTGTTGCTGAGTGCATTAAATTAACCTCCTTGCTGTATCAATGTTGTTTTTTCTTTTTTTTTTTCCCCATGCTTCAGTGATCTTCAGAGGCTTGGAGAGCTGCAGTCAGAACTGGCAGGGATGGCAGATTTCACTGCAACTTACCTTCAGTGTCAGCTGCTCCTCATCAAGGTTTGATTTCATCTGGGGTTTTTTGGGCTGTTCTTCAAAAATGCCTTCAGTCCATCATTGTGGTGTACTTTCACATTTTGATGTTCGTGCTGAAAACTGATGTATGATGAAAGCGCAGGCTCCATGGGTTTCTGATATTCTTGCTTCCCTTCTGTGGCAAATAATTTATGCAGTAACTTTGCCAATGAGTACGCCAGTGCAGATCTCTGCTGTTGTACCCAGGGCTTATGTTGGTTCATGTGCATTTTGCCAGTGCAGGGTTTATTTTCTGACAGAAATCACAATGGAGGCAACTACTCTGTAGCCTTTTATGATACAAGAGTAACTTTTCTCTGCTAGTGGCCACTGGAATGCTTCTTGCTAAACTACTGCTATAAGTGGAGGTTTTATAGACAATATTTTGTAGACAGCCTTTGTGTGTATTTATAGAACAATATGTATTTTTGGGGGCCTTGGTTCCCCAAAAGGATTTAAAAAATTTAAAAGCACAAAAGACATCTTTGGCCAGCTTTTTCAACCAACCTGTTGGCAGACTGCTGAGACACAGGGGATCTTCCCTGTTCCCAAGCCCATCTAGAGTGTTAGAATGTTTAGACCGAACTGGGCATTTATCATTTCATGGTTTTCTTCTGTAGGCTTTGCAGGAGAAGTTGTGGAACGTGGCAGCTCCTCTGTACCTGAAACAGAATGCGTTAGCATCCGCTGCAGCAAAACAGGTGAGGTAGAAGCATCCAGGTCTGCGTGGAGGCAAGTCCTCGGATATGAGCCCTTGTTTGGCTGTGCGACAATAGTACGGTTCTAATGTTCCACTGCCATGGTCTGTCCATGTCAATTTTAGTTCCACAAAGTGAAGTAATTTCTCTCGTCTTCAAAAAATGAGTGGTGAGTGCTGGAGGCTCATGAGAACTGTGAGAAGGTAAATATCACACCCATCTTCCAGAAGAGCAAGAAAGAAGAGCCGGAAAACTGTGGGCTGCTTGTACTCACCTCACTTCTGGGGAAGGATATGGACCAAAAAAAGCTGTTTCTAAACAAGTGAAGGTCAACAAGGTCATTTGGAACAGCCAGAATGCATTTCCCAAGGGCAAATGATGCCTGACCAACATCGTTGCTGTCTGTGAGGGGTCTGGTGCTCTGAACAAGGGGAGGGCAGTCTTATCTCTTGGCTTTAGCAAAGCCTTTCATGCAGTCTCCCATCATTTCTTTTTCACCAAACTGGCAAGATTCTCCCTGAATAAGTGGGTGATAAGGCTCCTCTAAATTGAGGAGGCAGTTGGTACGCTGGAGGGCATGGCTGCTGTTCAGGCTGGGGAACTGGGGTGACAGGAACTTCATGATGGGGATCCTGGTGGACAACTCGTTGAACATGAGGCAGTAAAGAAGGCCAACTGCATGCTCGGCTGTCCAGGGATGAGACAGATCCAGACTGCTCTGGACAGGAGGCAATGGCCATAAGTTAGAATAGGAGAAATTCTGATGAGATATAAGGAAAAAAAATATTACTGTAAGGGTGGTTAAATGCTGGAACAGGTTCCCCAGAGAGGTGGGGGGAATCTCCATCCTTGGAAATGTTCACAGCTTGACGTCACCCTGAGTAACTGTATCTAATGAGACCTGCTCTGAGCAGGGGGCCAGGCTAGATGACTTCTGGAGGTCCCACCCAACTTGGATTATTCTGATTTTGGGATGTAGAAATTATCTGATCCTGGAAAAACTGAAGCTAAGCCCTAAAAAAAAAAAAAAAGGTGAAAGAGAAAGCAAGCTATTAAATAACCCAGAGACAAATCCAGGTTAAAAGCAAATTCATGGATCTGCTGGGAAGCCATGCTGACATTTTGAGTCTCCAGTTAATGAAGATGTCATAAGGAGCAGGTACTGCTGTGCATCAAAACCTTTTGTGCCATTGACAGCCATCCCTAGGGATGAGTAGAAATAAAAGCCTATCAGCTTTTTAATTCTTCTCTAATTGAACTGTCTGTCCTGGGTTGTGATTGTGATTGTGCACGTAGATCACTTCCCATCAGTGCAAGATGTTAAACAACTCACAAGTTCTTGGCTTCTATACAGTCACACTGAACTCCACTGTATTAATTTGAGCACTTCTCTTGTCTACTTAAGCCCATATATTCAACAGAAAAAGTACCATGAGTAAACATGTGCAATGTGCTGTTGCAGCTTTTAACTGTGTGTCTGAAACGCCCCAGAATGATGTTTATCTTGCAACAGTTCCCATCTTCAGCTGCAGTCCATGAAGCCTTATTGAATGTAAAGTTGTTTCCAAGAGAACTTTTGTGAAGTATAGCTCCAAAAAATGTAAACCTGAGCAGGACCACTGAGCTTGCTCTGTTTTGCTGCGTATATTTTGTATTCCCAAGTAGCCAGTGGGAGTCAGCAAGTGCTCTACCTGTAGAAATGTAAAATGCAGTGTCAAAAGATAGACTTCCAATGGAGGGAGTGTTTGATTCAGGCCAAATTTCACAAATTATTTCCTTAATATAGCCAAAATAGCCCAGGTTGGATGAGGCTTTGAGCAACCTGGGCTAGTGGGAGGTGTCCCTGCCCATAGCAGGGGGTTGGAACTCGGTGATCTTTAAGGTCCCTTCCAACACAAACCATTCTGTGATTCTAAGATAAGCTTTTAGAACTAGGTGCGACTTTATGCCATGAAGAATTTCCCAAAAGAATAAGACTCATGGATTAATGTGTTCCTCAGTATGAGGAAAAATACCAGAATCTTGTGATCACACAAGAATTTAACAGAGTCTGATGGTTTGTTACCTTTGTTGTGTCTCTCTTGACAGATCTTGGAAGAAACTTATAAAATGGAGTTCATGTACAGCAGTGTGGAAAGCAGACAAGTGGTCATTATTCACCACATGAGACTGCAGGCGAAGGCATTACAGCTTATTGTCACTGCGCGTACCACTAGAGGGTAAGGATGACTTCAGCTTAGTTTCCTCAAGCTTTGTTTAAAAACCAGCAAGGATAAATTAGACGTGAAACATCACGGCATGCCAATAATCATTTGCTAACTTCAGCATTAAGAGCCTTCTTCTGCCTTTGTAGCTGTAGGGTGGCATAGTACTAAATTAGATGACAAAATTATTAGGAAGACATGTTTAAGGGGTTGAGTTCTCTCAGCTATGAACATATAAGTAGGTTGAAAACATTGTAGAGTGTGTCTTAAGAGATTTGGGACCTATTTAAATGAGGAAAGGTTGTTTATCAAAAAATGCATTAACTGTCTTTGCTTCATTAAGCATTAGTTGCTGAGTTTTTACCATCAGTAAATAATTGTCTTTGATCTGCAACTAATATTTGGGTGACTCGGACACAAAATGCTCCTGTGTATGCGTGGCTTAGGTAACGCGAGCGGCTCTCTGTGGTTCTTTTTGGCTGCTGAGGTCAATGAAGTTACCCAAGGGTTTCGGTGGCTGTAGAATTAGAACTTCACTTGGTGGAATTAGAGCAAGGTGGTTAGTCTCCTAATGCGTTTATTTTTGTTTCAAGTTTGTTGCCATCATTTTACTGTGTTGCCATAGAGGTCTATAGTGTGTTTGCCTTCTAACCTATTGTTTTATGGGTGAAAAGTTAATATTTTCTAACAATGGCTTTGCTAACCTAATTAGTGCCTTATGAAAATGATTTTTTTTGTAGGAGGGGGATATGGATGTGGGAAAGGAGATGGCAATTAATTTTTTTTTCTTTCTCATGGGGAACACCTTTATGGCCCCAGAATTGTAAGATGCTTATAGCCATAGAGCCAGTTTTCTTTATTTAAAACTAAAAGAAGGAACGTTATCTTCATTACAGAGTGGAACCCCTTTTTGGAATGTGTGAAAAATTCCTCCAGGAAGTGGATTCCTTTCAGAGGTGAGAAACTCTGTTGCTTCTTTGTTAAAAAGTCTCCCCACCATTGTCTTCAGGGAATATTCTGTTTGTTTGTCATCTCTTCACATCTCCCTTCCCCTGTTGCTGTCTTACATCGAGGACCGCTGTCATGAGATAATGATAAAGCAAGAAGTAAACTCCCTTCTAAATGTGGGATCAACGGAGGAGCTCTCCTTTTCTTTATCACAAAGTTCTAAGTTGTAAATGAGAGAGTGAACTGTCTACGTGCACAAGGTGAGAGTTATCTCGCCCTGGTGTTGACATTTGCTTTGTAGAGCACTCGCCCAGCTGTGCTCTCACTGGGGAGGTGCTTCTTGCAGCTTACGCAAATGGAGATGTCTAAAATAGGTCAGATTAGGGATGCCTGGGTTTTTTCTGTTGACTCAGAAGGGAATTGGATAGCTAGCAGGTATCCAGAGTTGGCTGAGCAGAATTCCATCTCTAGTTCTGATTAAATTCCCATTTATTTGTGGTCCACATGCTTGGCAGTTGTGGCTGGTTAGGTCCCTCCCCATCTCTCCTGTAGCCCCCTTCAGGTACTGGAAAGCCACTATAAGGTCTCCCCGGAGCCTTCTCTTCTCCAGGCTGAACAAGCCCAACTCTCTCAGCCTGTCCTCATAGGGGAGGTGCTTGGACATGTAAAATCCCCATGTCGAGGTTGTGCAGACTCAGGGTGCCAGATTTTAGCTGCACCCCATGACAGAGCAGTTGAAATTTTTTGTGTATGTAGTGGCAGTCCTAGGAACACAAGGATGTGTATTCCTACAAAGCCGCCTTGCCTGTGATTTTTCTCTACTCTTGCCAAGCTGGTGGTAGAGGCTTTGATTTATGGATTATGAACTTCTGTAGAACACCACCAGGATCCTGAAAAAACTCTCACTTCTAGGGCTGTAGGAACTGAAGCTGTTTTGGGCATGTCCGATACTCCTATCCAGGCTTTATAGACTCGACTGCAGGTGAAGATAGAGCACAACACCAAGTTTGATGAGAGGGGAAGAGAGCTCTTTGTTCAAGAGGCTGTTCACCTACACAAGTGGTACATTTTGTTCACCAAATTGCACGAATATTTACCAGGCTTACAAAACTGTGCAGGGTTGTTGGGTAGTAGCCCAATTTTACCTCTATATAAAGAATAAGAAATATCAAATGCTCTTCTTGTGTGAGGCTGTTGACCCAAACTACAGAATGGTTTCTATTCTCTGTTCTAAACCTCTAAAACTAGCTTTTTTTTTTTTCCCTACTGATTGTAGTTTGCTATTAAAATTTCACTCCTCAGATGTAATAAGAAGAAATGTTTTCCTGTGAGGGTGCTGATGAGGCAGTGGCCCAGGTTGCCCAGAGCAGCTGTGGATGCCCCATCCCTGGAGGGGTTCAAGGCCAGGCTGGATGAGGCTTTGGGCAACCTGGGCTAGTGGGAGGTGTCCCTGCCCCTGGCAGGGGGTTGGAATGAGATGAGCTTTAAGGTCTCTTACAAACCATTCTGTGATTCTGTGAATAAATAATACTCTCATAAATATTGGTAGTGAAAAATCATTCTGGAAACTTTGCTGCAGCAGAAGGTCAGACAGTCCGTGTACAGGGTGTGTGGGTTTGTTGGATCCTGTCATGAGTCAGCTCTTTAGCCAGATGAAAGTACACAGCATAAAGAATTAGCCATATGCATGTCTTCCCTGAGAAGTACCAATTTCAAGTTTGCAAGGCAACTAGAGTGGGATTGGTTTTTTTATCCAGCTGGTTTTTTTATGTTGAGACATCGAGATTGAATGCAGAGTACTGGAATTGCCTGTAATCTCATTTAATTAGCACTCCTGCTATCTAAATAGCGTTACAGTTGCACATGCAATCTGAGTGGAGAAATCCCTACAGGATCTGCTTCTCATTAATGTGTTGGTGGTGGGCACCTCAGCATTTCTAGCTCATTTTTTGTGAACCTGGATTTTTTGGCTCTTTATTAATGAAGGATATAAGCTGTGAGACCTGAATAACCCTTGTGGTTTGAACACAAGGTATGGTCCCAACATAACTAGCCAAAATAATCTTGAGACATGCATCAGAAGAGGAATCTGTGTATCTAATTCTGTCATTATAGCTAAATGGATTAAGTAACTTGTATGAAAATAACTGTTGAAAATGTTGCAAAAAAGTATTTTATTTTTAATTTATTCTTAACACAGATGTTTCATCTCTGAGCTCCCCCATATGCAAGGCAGTTTTGTAGATAAATTGCTGGACTTAATGCCCAGACTTGTGACATCCAAGCCGTCGGAAGTGGTCAAGATTCTTCAGACAACACTGCGACAAAGTACCTTCCTCCACCTTCCTCTTCCAGAGCAGGTCAGTTTAACACAGAGAATTAAAATGCAACATCCTTGCCAACTGTCTCTGCATTTGACTAGTTCCTAATTTTCTTCTAGTTCCTAGTTTTCTTCTTTAGGAAGAAATGTTTTCCTGTGAGGGTGGTGAGGCAGTGGCCCAGGTTGCCCAGAGCAGCTGTGGATGCCCCATCCCTGGAGGTGTTCAAGGCCAGGCTGGATGAGGCTTTGGGCAACCTGGGCTAGTGGGAGGTGTCCCTGCTCATGGCAGGGGGTGGAACTGGATGATCTTTAAGGTCCTTTCCAACCTGAACCATTCTATGATTCTATAATATACCATGAAGCTTTCAGGATTCAGGTTTTTGGTCAGTCCCAAGTGTTATTTCTCCCAAGGCTTTCTTCTTCTTACCTGGCATCCTCAGGACTACTGCTAAAAACACAGAAGGCTTAATAATTCCTAGCAGTATCTCAAAGAATCCAAAGTTCATGCACAGTTTCTCCACTAAGAACAGTAATGATTGTCTTTTTTTCTTTCCTCCTCCTGCCTTATTTTTGCCACTGGCTTTGCCCCTCATAGCTCCATAGAGCTACTGCAAATATCATTGAGCCTACCGGTGAATCTGATAACCCTCTGAGGTTTACATCGGGGTTGGTAGTGGCACTGGATGTTGACGCAACTCTGGAACACGTGCAGGATCCCCAGGGAACCGTTAAAGTTCAGGTAAGCAGTCGCTTGACAGAAATACAAACAAGATTGCGTCTTAGGGGGAGTTTGTTTAACGATGCCAATACTTCTAAATTGCAAATAATTGGACACTTTATTAGTAACAGTGTTGGATTTCTGCGTTTTAGCCACACATTCAACTCAGCACACGATACAAGCCGGTTTATGACTTGCGTACAGTTCCTGAGAGTTTGCTTTGGGCGCTTTGATGCTGTTCTGTGCTCCACACATGCTGCTCTCTGCTTTCACGTGCTCTGGGCACGTTACGGACCTGAGCACAAATAAATGCTGGTGAACTTCCAGCTTGTGCAGTGGGAGATGGAGGAGCAAAAGAAGCTGTTCTGAACGGTACAGAAACACGCAGGCTCTCAGCTCTCCGTATTTACGACTTAACTTTCTTCCTGCTGCTGAATCACTAGTTCCAAATGCAGCTGAGGGGGTCGGTGTGGTCCGATGCCAAGTACAATATGCAAATTCACTGCATCACAGAGAAATGAAGACCTCTGTGTACAATGCAGAGGAAGAAACTGATGTCAATGTATTTTTTTTTCACCTGTGCTGTGGGTCTGAGTGGCCAGTGTGTGGCTGTTAAATCTAGGGCAGCTGGACTCCTGGCTCCACATTAAAACACACTTTCCTGCCTTCTGCACTCAAACAGAAAACTCCAAAATAACGCACACTGTGCAAATCCTCAGTCCTGTTCTCATTCAGTTGTTTCATTTTTTTTTTTCCTTCTACAGGTGTTGTATCCAGATGGACAAGCACAACTAATCCATCCTAAACCAGCTGACTTTCGAAATCCTGGTCCTGGAAGGCACAGGCTGATAACTCAGGTTTACCTCTCCCACACAGCCTGGACAGGTAACGCCAGTGATACAAGTTCATGTGACTGTGTGGCTGCACTCCTCTAAGATAGGAGCGTGTCTTGCTTGATCCCAGTCTTCTGGGATCCCCAGGATTCTTGGGAGTTTTGAGGATCCTGGAGTCTCCAGCTGTGGTTGATAACACCCTTAGCGTTGCTCAGATTTCTGTTCTCGCAGCCTTTGTGCATTTCCATCTCCCTGGTTGACAGGGCACTGCTCCACAGGTGACTAGAGGGGCTGCTGGCATTGGAGAGACGGTGTTCGGTACGTGCTGGGGGCTGTGTGTGCAGTTTTCCAGCACTGGGAGCCTTATGTGGGAGCACGTATTCCAGGTGAGGTCAGCTGTTTCTGTGCAGAGCAAGATTAGTTGCAGGAGTCAGCTCTGAATCCTTATTTAAAGTCAAGGAGTCACGGTAAACGGACTCATTGTTAATTCATTGGTTTAGATCTGACCGGTGTTTGAGCAGGGCAGAGAACCTGTGGAACTGTGTGTACTCAACAGCATAATTTCACTGCTGATTAAACTTTCACCCTTTTAATGCCCTAAAAAACGCCCTTTAGCTCTGATGGAATATGTGACTCCAACATTCACGTTCAGTCTCAGTTGGCACACTTCCCCATGAAAGTGCTTCAGTAGCTGGCTCGTGGACTTCAAACAATAAAAGCAGAGGGTATTTGTTTGCAGCTCCCTTTGTCCTGTTTTCTTTTAAACCCTTTACCTTTATTCAAATGTGTTGGGTCTTTTTTCTGAGCAGTTTATTTTCTGAGCAGTTATTAATAGGATTTGATTTTTTTTTTTTGGTTTTTAACCATCAGACTTTTGTTTAGTGCAACGTTCTTTCACGTTCTCCTTTTCATGTAGCACTTCCATGGTGTACTCGTTCCTCCTGTCATCTTTGTTTTGTTTAGGAGAAGAAAAAATGGTATTGTTTCTGTGACTGGAAGTATCTAGATTTTAAGGTTCTTCTTGTACCAGAGGGAGCAGAATCAAGTCCATATTTCTGCTTCTGCAGCGTTCACTGGAAGGGCATTTTCAGTGTGGCCCCAGAGGATTCTGTTCTGGTGTCTCCTCTAGCTGTTATTTGAACTATTGATTTTGACATTGGCTTTTGGGGATACACAATGTGGGGAGGACACCAAGCTGGGAGGGGTTTGGGGAACGGGGTCAGAATTCAAAACGGAGAAATTGCCTTAAGTCAAGACAATTAAACTTACTGAAGGGCAGTAAAAAGTGTGCTCACTCCTCCCCAGTGGGATGAGGAAGAGAATCAGAAGGGTAAAAGTGAGAAAACTCGTGGGTGTTGCACCATTCAGCAATTGCTGAAACATCCCTGTGTTATCAACCCTGTTTTAGTCACAAATCCGAAACGGCACCATGCGAGCTGCTATGATGGAAAATTAACTTTATCCCAGCCAAAACCTGTGCAAGTCCATATGGAAATCCTAAAGGAATCATGACTTTCAGTCTAGAAAGGAAAATTTTGATGGGAATATAGTCCAGCATGTTGCTCAGAGTCATACTCTGTAGACTGAAAGCCAGTTTTTGCTGTGACCACTGGGAGAAGAACAAAATGAAATCATTTTATGGACACTGTTGGGAAAATCTGTCTAGCTGCCGAGATGGTAAAAGAGGGGAGAAGACTTGCAGGGTAAAATCCTCCAACAGAAGAGAATCTTCAACTAATCTGTGCTGTGAGTCTTACCAGACATCATCTGGATTTACCTGATCCTGCCATAAAAATAGAGGTAGCAAGACCTGCTAGTTCTGTGGTCTTTGATGATTTTATTATGATTTTGTTGGAATAACTTTGTTCTGTTTTTTCTCTGCAGAGCCATGTCAGATTGAAGTGCGGTTGCTGCTGGCCTACAATTCCAACAGGAGCAAAGCATCTGCTAAAATTCCTAAATCTTCCTGGAACGAGAGCTTGGAGGCTCTCCCGCAATCCGAAAATGGCATAGAGGGGACCATACCCTTCAGCAAACCTGTCAAAGTTTATATCATGCCCAAACCTGCCAGACGGTGAAGTCTTATCGCTAAAATAAATATATTTATGGGATTGTTTGGTTACATGAAAACAATAGACTGTGTTCCAAGATGGTGAACCAAACCAAAACAGTTTTATACATGTGTAAAAGAAGTCAATTGTAGAAATAAAGCTGCTGAAGAGCAATTGGTCTCCTCTGTTAAGAAGCAGATAAACCAATACACGAGTTATTCAGCTGGTTTAAGAGTAGTTTTAAGAAAATGAAGGTGTTTCTGTCTGGAATCAACAGAATCAAGTCAGCTCTCTGAGTTTTCTGCTACGTATTTACCAAGGTATTTACTATGTAAATGCTTCGGCACATAAATCCGTGGTATTTTTACAGTACTCTGAAATGAAGCTATGGAGTTTGGTTGGGGGGGGTTTTTTTTTTTTTTTTTTTTTTTTTTTTTTTTTTTTTTTAATGTCTAAAACTTGTATTTGTGCATTAGTACCTGAATTCTTAGTAAAAAAAAAAAAAAATGTTCTGAAGTGCTATTGTTCTTGTGTAGGAACTGCATCTCGGAGTGAAATTGCCAGTTGCCGTAGGCTGAATCCTGAGCTGCTTTACACCCTGCACGGCTGTGCTGAAGCTGTTTTGGGGAGGGCACAGGTTGTTCATGTCGTGTGGGGGGAGGAGGAACCTTTGGTACAAACAGCAGAACTGCAGTTAACAGGAGATGGAGTTTAATTGAGTTGTAGCAACAAAACAAGGTGTTTGTTTGTTTATATAAAATGGAGTCATGCATATTCATCTCTGAATTGTCATCCAAATCTCTTGCATTCAGGAATAATGCGATTCGATGCCATGGGTTGAAAAATTACTAACCCCATCCCACTGAGCTTTACAGAATCTCTTTCTGCCTGGTGATCTTGGCCTGAACCAGTCTTACTGAGATGAGAAGTCTGTCTGGCTTTTCAGTTCAGCAGTTTTGGCAAAGCCTTTTCTGATCAGCTGCAGCAGCCGAACACGCTCTCAGTGAAGCAGCAGCAGACGGACAGCTTGTCGGTGTTCCCCTGAGCGGCTGAGCTGGGAGTACAGAGGGACAGGAACTCACTAGAAATGTGATCCTTCTGTTGGAAAGTGTGTCTGTGCATCAGTTCTGTGTGCAAGGCTTCAGCGGACTGTGAAACCTCTGATTTGTAGCAATCCCTTCATACGATTTTCTAGGAGCACTTAATGTGTGAAACTTTATAGTGCAGCAGCCAAATGTTACCTGTGCTCATAAATCGTTAAAAAACAAAAAAAAGTGTCTTTTTAGCAGGTAAACAAAGCAGTGAATACTTTCCAGTTGTACAGAGATTAGTGTAAATAGTAACCCCTCATATGTTTTCCTACAATAAAATGGGAAAACTCATCCTCATCTGTTTCTTCTTTGTTATACGAGTGAACATGCATGCCTGCATGGTCCCAAGCTAATAAGAGATTACTGCAAGGTTTTTTTGTGATTTTATTTTAATTTTTTTTTAGCACTGATATGTTTTGGTCCAAAGCCTCATAACCATAAAACTATTAAGCTGCATTAGGTATTCTTGAATTAAATATCCTTTCTTAGTCCTACTGCTCTTACAAACAGTTTTTCTGCTTTCACCCGTAGGGCACTGCTTTGAAAACCTCCTGCACATGTAAAAGCTGAGTTGTTCCACCTGACTTTCTCTTTGCCATCCTCAGTTCGGTTCGATACATCTCTTTGTTATTTAGCTGTGTCTGGGCACATACTTGATGAGTTAAGCCAGCTTATTCCAGACTTCTTTTTTTTCCCCTCTCTCAATTTTACACCTCACCAGCATTTCTGCAGTTTGTCATCCCAGTAAAGACTTCTCATTTAAATGGTGTCCATGTGCTCCAGGCCACGACTGATGCCCAGGGGCTGAGGGAACACCTCCTCAGTCCTGAACGCCACCCTTCTCTGTCGGCGCAGAGCAATATTGATGGGCAGCACAGCAAAGCTTTCGTGCTCCTCTTGGGCCTGCAGATAAACCTTCCCCATTAACCAGCTGTCTGGCATAAATCCTACCCTACCTCAGGGTAGTTTGGCTGCTCTGTGGTTCTTTGTATTTATGTTTTATCATTTGTTCCCAGGACATAGATGACCAAACAGCTATTCTGTTCTGGACTTTTTCTTTTTTAAATATTCAGTATCAAAATCTTGGCCTCTTTCTCTCTTTTTCTGAGCACTGAGGCAAATTTCTACTGTTTTGCTCCCCTCGTGCTGTGCTTGAGCTCTTTTCTGTAACATACGTGGCAAAGATCACTCCCCTTCTGTACTACCACCAACGGAGAATCAAATACTGAAGGGCTACAGAAACCTTCTTCATCTGTAGTTTCAGATGCCTAAAACCACTTGAAAATTTCAGACTACTACAAACATTTCCAATCTAATGAGAGTATTCCATAGTTGACTTCTCTTCTTGATAGTGTCCTGCAGTTTTGAATCTGTCCTAGTTTGAATCATGGAATAAATCATAGGTTCTCCTTTTCTTCTTCGGTTTTATCTATTCAAGCAGATGACTAATTCATCATCATTTTAACTGAACTGGAAAAGAAGTGTTCTGTAACTCTGATGATCTTAAGGAAACAGCATCTGACATTTCTTCCTTATGTCCAGTCTAAATCTCCCCTCTTCCAGTTTAAAACCACTGCCTCTTGTTCTAGAGGCCCTGGTAAAACATCCCTTATAGATACGTGCTGTTGTAGCAGGTCTTTCTGTACAGTACACTGCTGCTCTCCTGCTGCTGTTCTCTACCCTTCCCACTCTTCTTGAAATGTGTTTTGTTTTCTTTTGGTTGTGTTTTGGTTTTGTTTTTGTTTTTAACTACTTACCTTGATCTCCAATTTATTTTAATTTACTTTCTCTTTCAAATGCATTTTCACACCATGTTCCAACATACGGGAAATCTGAAAGGAAATTTGTATAAAAGGTAAGTCGTCCAAGATTTTGTTGTAGTTGTTTAATGTTGAATTTTGACCCCCAGGTTTGAGACATTTAAGTTTTTCTGTTCTCAAAAATACTAGATTTCATGCTCTCTGTGGGGCTCCAGGACTTTGTGTCATCTCAGCAGCATCTCTACCCATTCCCCATTGTCATTTTGGCTGAGTGTTCGTCTTCTGCACAGCCTAAAAGATGCTTGATCTCAGAATGTAAAGAAAAACAAAGGGCTGTACTCATGCACAAAGAGAATTTGCATCTTTCATCTTTGTTGAAGAGGGAACAGAGGACTTCAGATCACAGTCACCCAAGTACGGGGAGATTCTCTTCTCTCGGATGTTTTCACGGGTAGGAACGTGATGCCAGTACAGAGCTGCAGGGAGATTGAACAAGCTAGAAGCAAGGGCAAATAATTTGCTAAAAACTAAAAATTCAAACTCACCTCCACATTTTACACCCTAGTTAGACATAAGTCAAGAGGGTCAAGAATCTGGATCGAAAGGAAAAGGCTGAACTCCCAGGATAGAGGTTATAGTTTAGTGGTTTGAAAAAGTGTTATCATGTTTGCTGTTTTTTTTTCAGATTTAATTACACGTGGCATCTGTGTGGGGGGGAAGCCCAGCTCTGAATGCTTTAAATGGGAAATTTATAATCAGATTGCTGAAGTCCATTGAAAGTCATTCGGCCAATTCTTCGAACTTTGCAAGTAAATAATGCAATTATCAAGAACACTTAAAACAATGCATAAATGTATTTGGATCAAAGTTGAAGATTATGAGCAATTATCTCAAACCTGGTGTGGCTTTCGTATATCTTATTTTAAGAAGTACAGAAAAACTAAGTAGGCAGCTACAGTCACTGTAAAAAGTACAAAGTAAGTTCTTCGGAAGACTAAAGAACAGGGCACGCATTTAAATCAGGACCATATGACATCATCTTGAGTTCCAGCTCACAGAGAGGGGTTTCCTCTGGATTCCTGTCTTGTTCTGAGTTCTCAAATTGTCTGAGTTCTCAAATCTTTTGACGAAGTCAGAGACACAATCACTATTTTCATCTTATTTCACTCGCATCTTCCAGTTTATTCTTTGTCGCAAGCTTTCTTTTTGCTTTACAATTTGCTAATGCAGTGTTAGGATGACTTCAAAATAAAGTTTGGCGGCTCATAGAAGCCAGGCTTTGCACAAACGCTGCCTGATGGCCCTTAAAAATGCTGCTCATGTTGCATTCGGTGTGGCTGGGAGCTGGTTTTATGGTGTTTTTTCTCCTGGCTGCCAGCTTGCGCGTGCTGCTTCACAAAGATAAGGGCTGGGGACGGACCCGCTCGGCGGCGGAGCAGCTGGGGTGGAATCTTCCTGGCACCCAGCCCAGCCGCGGCTCTGCTTTAATGAGAGCGGCAGGGTGGGAGTTCACTGCCTCTACTGGGAGATCGTTTTCCTGGTGGGAGGCAGAAAACGGGTGTACGTGAGAAATCCTGCCCTCTAAAAAGTGCATTCCCATGATTTGGGTGATGAGCCCATCATTTTCACAAATTATTTATGGCTCTAGCTAAAAGCAGCGATTTAATAACGAGACCATTTTGAGCTCTGGTTTTTTTTTTTTTTTTGGATGAATTAGTCCCAGCTGTTTCCACCAGCAAAGCACCAAGAAGGAAATTGGACTTTCAGCGACTGGAGCAGCCCAAGTGGAGCAGATGCTTTTGTGGGAACGGACAAAGCTGACTCAGGAAGCTGTGATGAGAGCAGCAATAGAAAATATGGATGGAAAAAACTTGCAGCAGATTATCTCCTTGTTGACACTGAAATTTTTTACTGATGGTAGTGAATCTTAGCAGTTTACCTTTAAAAAGGGAAATCCGTTTATTTGTGTGCTGCAGCTCCCCGTTTTAGAAGTGGAATCTTCTGTATCTTTCAGGTTGCCAAATGAAAGGAACAATTAAGAGGCTGCAGCACAAAACAGGGTAAGGCACACCTCTCAAAGTCACCTGGCAACGCTCAACGCACTGTGCTCCTTGCGTACTTTTGGGGAGGACAAAACATGTAGCACCAGTGCGAGGAGCCCACAGGATTTTTCTCGAATGCAGGACGTGGGCTGAGCAGTTTTGCTGAATGTGGCTTTACCATTCACGTGGTATTTAAATATGAAAATATTAAAAAAACATCCTGGAGGTGAAAGATGAGGGCTCTGCTCAGCTTCTAACAGGGTAACGAGCATGCTGCAGTACTTAAAACCAGGAATTGTCCTCTTGGTAAAAGCCTTACAAAGCCTCTTCCTATTTAAGGCTGCCTTCAGGCCCCAAAAGCTCATGAAATAATATATATGACAGTGATCAAGAGTCAAACTACCTCCCCTAAAAGATAACATTTAACGCAAAAAGTCTTCATAACTCTGCGAACTGGGAGGAACTGGTTCTACTGGCATTCCCTTGGGATGACGACACTCCTCTGGGTCGGTGGTTCACCTTCTACTTCACACCATGCAGGTTGTTCAGAACAAAGTCGGAGCAGTTCTGCCGAGCGTTATAGCGGCTGCTGTGTCACACAACACGGCTGCAAATCGCCAGGCAGTTCTTGCTGGGTTAGAGAAGATGTTGCTTCAAGTATTGCTACAGTAATGAAAATATGACGGTAATTAGGAGATTGCAAGATAAAACTTTCAAGTACTCACTTTCCCTTTGCTTTGACACCACATTGTATTTCATCAGATAAAAGGGTTTTAAACAATTACTAGAGCAAATAAACAGAAAAAGAAAGAATATTCTAATTTGTGAAGGGTTATTTGTGGGTCTTGGGAAAGTCAGCGTGTTCTCATGGCAATCTAAGCCTCTCTGCTACTACTTGGATAGTTCTGAGTTCCTCGGGGCTTTTCATAGTGTCAGCTTTGTGCTTTCATTAACAGACAGGGACTTAATATGCACAGATCAAGAATTAGTGCATCTGGTGGGGAGAAAAAAGAATCTACAGTAGGTAACTTGTAATATTAACATAGCAACCAGGAGAACTTTTTAGATTTTCAGTGTAATAATATGCTTGTTGGGACAATGTTTAAATCATCAGATAATGACAAACACTGAGGATTCTCACATCCATCCCCAGCTTTCTAGCAGCAATTTAGACTGATTTCCTAAGATCAACATTTTATGTTGCAAATTCTAGTTTTCTGGCAAATCTTTCTGATAATTTTAAGCACAGAGGGACTTTTTAATAGATATGTATTGCACACCTCCATCCTCACAATTCAAAATTGGAAATTACTTTATTGGAAAATACTTTAGGGCACAGATTTTATGTTTATTCCCTGTTGACTTTTTTTTTCCCCTTTTTCCAGGTTCAATGTAAAATGTAAAAGTGCTAAATTATGTGATGTTCTTAAATTATCACAAACAGATCTGTATAACCAATATCCTGACTGTAGTCACCAGCAGGAGGCAAAGTTGTATATTCTGAGTTCACTTTTTAATTTATTTTATATTTAATTTATTTATACAGTGGTGATAAAGTGCTTCTTTACCACCGCTTCGTTATCTGCCACTTGATTGTACTCATCAGCCATCTTATGGCTGCATTCCAGGAGCTAATAATGTAATTTCAGGCCACTTCCTAATAACAGTATTCAAAACCTAGTATCTCAATTTAGCCAACGGGTGAAAAGTTAAGTAACCAGAATACGGACAGTCTTCAGAGGAAGATCTGGTCAATCTCAAAAATGTATGGAAATGGTTCTGTAATTAAATTATTTCATTAACAGCCCCACTTAGGGAGCACTCAATTTGTTTAAATCCTAAACTAATAAACCGTCTTTGCATTTTAGATTGTCAGTGCACAAATGCCTTGGCACGTAAGTCCACACTCTGCTGACTGTAATTTGATTCAGCGGAGAGGTGTGTCCGTGATTTGGCTGCGGTCGAGGAAGGCGCAATGAGCTGTAATGCCTCAGCAGGTTGAGTGGAAAACTCCCCCAACTTTAACACCCTGAGCAGCCAGGGTGTTGTACTCTGCCACAGCCTTCTCTGTTTGCAAGACCACCACATCGATCCCGTTTTTCTTCAGATACTCCACAGTAGATGATGGAACCTCAGAAGAGAAAAGGAAATGGGAAGAGTAAGTGTTATTTTCCCTCCACATTGTAAGGCTTGCAGAAAAAAGGGTGCTGATGGCATTTGTTAGTAGATGCATTTAAGTAATTGATAGTAGCCAAACTGATAATATGTTCAGATATTTTCAAGACATATAAATTTTTTTCTCTTCAATAAAGCTACTTTTAGAAACACACCTCCCACCTCTCCTTAACAGAGTTTAAAATACAGCCCTTTCTTACAAAAATAAATAGAACGGGAGCTAAAGGCAATTAATCTAAATAAGGTGTTACCTCACCAGAAAAGCTAAAGAATTCCTTCTCATGAAGTGAAGCTCAGCACTTCTGAGCTTTCTGTAGGTAGTTTATCCGCAGAAATGACACCCTGCCAACATTAGTAACAAAAATGCCTCATTATCAAAGTATTTACAGCAGGCTAGAGAGCTAGTTCATAACCTATTTGAAGAGGGGGGACTAATGACACTATAAAAAATTCTCCTTGTTTAAATTTAATTGCAGAACATAAACCTGTATACTGCTTGACAATGACACTAATACAGAGGAGCTCAGATTATGTTTCTTTCAGGAAGAAAGTGACTCCTGGCAGAAGCTCAGTCATGCTAATTCAGCATCCTGAATTTTTTCACATCATAGATTTTTTTTTTTCTCCCGTAATCAGAGGGAGAAGGAAAACAAACAGTTCTAGTTTATGTTTCTCCCAGAACAAAAACCTACCTGCAAAGCCTCACTCATGCCACGACCAATCACCAGAGTTTTAACACCCTTCTTGACAACTTCTTCAAGGTCAGCTGGCTGCACTCCTGGAGAATGCTAAGTGGCAGGGAAGGAAAATAATAGTCAGCGTACTGACAGCATCAACAAGAAAAGCTTTGTTTATATCTTTTGAAACTGTCCACAGAACAGCAGGGTAAATTAGCAGTACCAAAATGTAACACAACACTCTTTTCTGCATACAGACAGAAGATAACTTTGATAATTAAAAAAGGTATTTTATATGCAGATGAAGGGTGATAGTCCATCGATAGCACTATTATCACTCTTCATTAAACAGTTAAAAATAAAAGGATGCATTACACATTTCTAAAACATTTATGTCTTAACAACTAGCATTTTATAAATGTTAAAAGTGAAATCAATAAATTGCAACATATTGCTGTTTGCTTTCAAACAAACAAAGCCTTTTTGTAATAAAAACTGTGGCAAGACAAAATTTACTCACTTTAATTACAAAGAGCTCCTCAAATAATTCAATTTATTAAATTATTTTCTCGTTTACTTTGCAAATCTCATTTATCAGAGGACCACTATGAGGGTGGTGAGGCAGTGGCCCAGGTTGCCCAGAGAAGCTGTGGATGCCCCATCCCTGGAGGGGTTCAAGGCCAGGCTGGATGAGGCTTTGGGCAACCTGGGCTAGTGGGAGGTGTCCTGCCCATGGCAGGGGGTTGGAATGAGATGAGCTTTAAGGTCCTTTCCAACCTGAACCATTCTGTGATTCTATAACTGAAACATACCAGTTAGCTTCATTTCAGTTAACAGTTTCAATGTCTGCAATATTCTTAATTTTGAAAAAGGAATATTTGAAACCAAACTCCTCAAAGAAAAAAAGAGTTTCAACAGCACGTTGAATTTTTTTAAATAAGTAAATCCATTTACTATTGGTGCAGTTTAAACATATGAATCCACAAGCACACCTGTAATGTTAATATAAAACATTATTATGTCACACTCATTCTCCTCCGGGACTCAATTTCTACATATCTCTGTATGGCCAGGAGTGAGGTACTGTACAGCCTGTGGCTAGAATTTAGCCTCTCTTTGCTGTGCTTTTCTTTTAAACCATAAATACTATTCCCTACCCTTTTTTTTTGGTAGGATTCTGAATTTTTTTTAGATGACTGAGATGAGTTTCTCACTTGAAGTAGGTAATGCCATAGTGGACTTCTGGAGAACATTATTTTTACAGTTTATCCCTTACATTTCCAGAAAACACTACATTCCTGCAATGAATTAAGGTCAAAGCACCAGCCTAACAATTGGCTTCTGTCCTTCCATTAGTGAGCTCTTCTCCTTGATGTCTTTGGGTCCTCTCCTCTTCTTTTTCCCCTACCCAAGTCTTCGGCAGCTGATGCTACAGCCTCACACGAGGTGTCCAAGTTCTCTTCTCAGTTCTGTCAATGCCTCAGCTTGCAGAACAGAGCAAACAAGACTTTTCCAGCTGAAACAAACATCTAAGCTCCAAAAGTTGCACGTGAGGGAAACCTTCCATGGTAGAGTGCCACCTTTAATGAGTGGATTAAACTTATCCCACAAGAAAGTCTTTAGCCTGGCTGGTATCTGGAATTTCATCAACAGAGTTGGTTTGCCTTTATGGTTCTCCAACTTCAAAGAATATCTCAAGTTGGAAGGGAGCCATAAGGATCATCAAGTCCAACTCCTCGCTCCTTGTGGGTCTACCTAAAACTAAACCATGTGACTAACAGCATTGTCCAGATGCTCCTTGAACTCTGACGGGGTTGGTGGGGTGACCACTTCCCTGGGGAGCCTGTTCCAGTGACCAGCCACCCTCCCAGTGAAGAACCTTTTCCTAACATCCAGTCTGAACTTCCCCAGACACAGCTTCATTTCTCTCCATTATGTCCTATCACTGGTCACCAGAGAGAGGACATCAGCACCTCCCCCTCCATAAAATGGCAGATAGCTACACTATGCTTGATGCGCCCCAAGACACAGTTGGCCCTTTTGGCTGCCAGGGTCAAAAGTTGTGTTCCCCGAGTCCATTTACACTTGATATCCCCACCTAGAACGCAGAGGTCACTTCAATATGCAGAGCTTTCTCAGACCAAATCATTGGAAGTACCTATTCTGTCATAAACATGCAATGCTTTTCCTTTGTTTTCTTTTTTTTTTAAAGTAGACTCAAAATTTAGACAAAGAGAACCAGTATGTTTTACTGCAATTACAATAATTAGATTGCTGGGGAAGGTTTGCTGTCATATGAGAAGTACTCCTGAGACATTAAAGCCATGGAACAAAAGGATTTTCTTTGGTTACACAAGACACTCTGACCCAGGGGCTTCCACATGTTTTGTAGGAAACTACTGTCATCAAAGGAAACATGAAACACGATGGAAAAACTCTATCATTCTTGATCTGGTATTGGAAAGAGGAAAGGCAGCAGAATTTCTTGCCTGTTTTTTTCTCTGGTCTTCCATTCAGGATTCCTTCTTTTCTCCTGTTAGCAGATGGTACTGACATGCAGCCACCCAGGGAGGCTGCCTTGCATCCCCAAGGGTTAAGGCCCCAAGAACTATTAGTGCTTAGTTACAGAACCTTGCAGAGACAGTTTTACATTTTTCCTGATGAAAGAATTATGTACTAGATAGCAGTCTGATAGCAGAGAAAAAAAGGAAACAATTTATTTCCAACTAGAGCGTGGGACATGACCAGCACTGCTTGTTTCCCAAACTTCAGCTCCACCTACTCCAGGAAAAACACACTCAAAGCAAGCAGGCACACTGAGGTCTACCGTAAAGAAACGTGCGGAAAATGCATCTGGTGAATCCTGCTACTTCCAGTGCTGATCAGATTAACTTTTTAATAGTTCTTCTAGAGTTGGAGATGCAGTCTAGAAAAGCTTAGTTCTGTTGCCATATTTGTTGCTTGCTGTTCATTTTTAAACCAAATCACACAACTCCTCATAGCTGCAAGGATAGAACTGACCTAAAGCGGGAGCTTTACAAGTGACCTACGTAAGGCAAAACCTAAACAAGTATTTTTTACTTCCTGATTATATAAAAAGGATGCTACAAAACCTACCCCTACAAATAACCCAATTATTTTTTTTTCTCCTCCGATTTGAATTTAACATAAGAGTCATTTTTCTTGTTTCAGTTGGAGGACTTCTGGGAAGGCTTTTATAGACTTACAGCTTTTACCTGTCCCCCAGAGATACCCTCAGTAGAAACTTTAAATGGAAAGCGTGGCCTCCTAAATATTAGTAGGTGGTTATAATTTGAAACCAAAGTTTTCACGTGATCAGAATGAATATCAAAATGTGATTGAGCTGGGAACTAATTGGGAACTTTTCAGCTACCGTATCTGTTCTGCTTCTCTGGCCATCCGTGCATACAAACCAGGCAGACAATATTGTCAAACACACAAAAAACGACTCTCACCACACAATCCAGCCCTCCAAACAGCCAGTGAAAACTTCATTATTAGTCATCAGACCATAAACAAAAGACATTTAGAAAGGTTACATACACAGCTCTCTCTCTGCAAGGTACAGGTATCTTTGCATGACAGCACTACCTTTCTCTCGGCATCATATATTCTGTATAACCTGAACTGACAGGTTCAAAAAGTTCTGTTCCCCCAAAGATTATAGATGAAGTTCCGAACTCAAAGCATCTGCTCTTCAGTTGCATCTAAATTAATTCAACAGAGCTGTATCCTCTGCATGGACACAGCTGCAGGAGCTGGGTCTAAGACATGATCAGTATGTAGTTTTTTTGAGCTTTAAATTTTGCTTGGAAATTATGGACTTTTTTCTATCCAACACAGAAGCTCTAACATGGGAAGAATTATCAACATCAGGTTCCTAATCCAATAGACATTATGCTGCTTCTAAATCCGCAATGTCAATACTACTCCATATACTTTTACAGAATTCTGATAGCATTCACAGACAGCAGTTTAAAAATTGTGAGGGCAAGTACTCAGTACATGGCTACCAAGGGAAGTCACTGTGTGGTTAGCCAGACTGTGAGCTTTTCACAGAGAAACTAGCGCCTATGACACTGCATCTGCATATTTTTCCTCTGAAATAAGTATGAAGGACCCCAGGGAAAAGGCTATAACCTAAACATCGTTCTCTTCCAAACAGATAAGGTCAGTTACTGTCGATTTCTTTTAACTTCCCATACATTTTTTTCCTATCTCATTCAAGACAACTTCTGTTTACACAGTCTGAAAAAAGATTCTTCGCAGCATCTTATGACAATTAGACTCTTAATCAAACGTAGAATGCTGGAACTTTAACAACTGTTGTCTGGACCATTCTCAGGGTCCCGTTTAAAATGCAGGATAGTAAACAGCAAACTTACATTAGTCCCAGTTTCTCGCCAATCCCAGGTTCGGCTTCCTCCTGGCCATACTTTGCAGTCCTTATATGTTGTAGAGCAGCCTTTCACCTTCATCTGACCCCACGAAATGGAAGCAATTTCAGGGGAAGACATCACAAAGTTGAACCCAAGTCTGGAAAAAGGTGTTTAATACATAAGATCAGGCTAACATATACGGCGTGTTAATAAAAGAAATAAAATTCTGTCCTTGCCCCAAAGAGCTGGGAAGGAAACGCTGTTACAGACTTTACCCACGTGATTTTGTGACAACAGAACTGAACAGAGGATCAGCAGATTTGTTGAATTACCAGTCCTCTTGGGGATTCTGTGCAGGATTTTGGGCAAATCATTTTACATGCTAAATCTGTGCAACTGGGTGCTCAACTTTTAAAACTAGCAACAGGGATCAGGTCCCGGAACATCCTCTCACATCTTTTAATCTTCTCCCTAAAATGTACAACGAAGATGATGATTTCTTAAAATACCTGAGAGATACACTATTTCTTTGTCTGCTTTATTAATTTAAAGAGGTAAATGAGGCTTAAAAAAATTCCAAACAAACAAACCCAGTAGAAAAGCCATGCACAAAACAATGGCATTGCCGTATTGCTACAGCAAACAAGACTTTTAGAGCCCTAAAGGAGTCAAGCATTCTTCCCCTAATCACTCCTTACAGAGGCCAAGTCTCCCTGTGTTAATGTCTCAGGAAAGTTAAACACCCAAATATCTTTTCTAATGTGACCTTAATCTTCACTGTTTCAACTTAAAATCATTATTTCTAATCCCTTCTTACTGTGGACAAGGAGAATTGTTTAATCTTAGTCTTTTCCACCATCTTTTGTTTTCCTGAGGACATAGTCTTCTTTCCTTTCTTTTGGATTAAAGAAATTTCAGTTCCCTTCAGTTGTTTTCTAAATCTCTGCTTATTTTCCCCTTTTTTCCTGGCAGCCAACAATTGGTATGCATCTTTCTTTGATGTCTGTTGCCTAGAACTAGACAGTGCTCCAGCTGAGGCCTTATCGGTGCTGCTATAGACCAACCGCTTTTTGATATTAACGGCAGTAATTTTCAGATCTGATATCACCATCACAGCCGGGCACCAGCAGGGCAGGGACTCTGCCTCAGAAAGTACCACCTCGCCGCACCGTGAAAGCTTACGCCCTCTTCACAGTGCTTCAAGTTACTGCAATCTGATCGCTGGTGTGATCCTGGCAGTAGACGACAACATAGGAATCGCACAGCGATACCCTGGAAATGTGCTGGACCAGCATGGCAGCCAACTGACGCATCTTCAGGGCAGAGTCACTTTCTGTCCTTCCAGTTCAGAAGGAAGAAGACAGTCTGAAATCCACATATTGAAGAAAATTTGTTGCTTCTGCAGTAGAGAGAGCTCTGCTCTCCTGCTGATCCAGAAAACCTCAGTGGCATATCCTTACGGACAGGCAGTTTCTCAGCCTTTACTTTTTAATTGTTCAAATTTGCCAGGAAAAAATTATCATAGGAACCCTGGTGGTACAGATTAAAGAATGAGCCCTGACAAAAGATAAATCTTTGGATTACTAGTCCTCCTGGAAGCCTCCCTTCCTGTCCTGCACGTGCTACCAAACCACAGTACGGCCAGACAGGACGTGCTCTTCTCCAATTGCCAGGAGCAGATCTCAGTATCCCACTTCAAACATCACGGGAAATAAAAACCGCGTTACTTTGATTCTGGCACAGGAATGAGGCTGCCAGAGGTGCTTCTTCCACAGAATAATTGGGCAATTCTTTTCTTTCTTGCTCCTTTGTGAAGTTAGTGACACGTGTGCCCTGCCAAACAGGAAGGCAGGCAATAATCTAGAACTATTTCCCATGATACTGCCAAAGCATTATCAGTAAGGTCCAGTTGTTTGAATTAGTAAGAGTATCTTAACTTTGATTAAGAATGAACTTTTTGATAGGAACTTTGAACATTCTTGACGCAGGGCATGGTCCAATCGCCAATCAGCAAGGAGTAAGAAAATATTTCCCCAACAAACCAGTTGCCTTTTTAATTATTTACCATGACAAATGTACAGTAGTACCAAAATATACAGTACCACTTAAGATCAAAACTATATGACTCACAAGTATAAACTAAAACAGGAATTTCTGTAAATTGCAGCAGTCTGAACACAAAGAGACAAGGAGAAGAAATGGTTCAGGAATCTACAAGCAAAGTTATGAGAGTTTAAAAAAAGGAAGCAGAAGAGCTGAAAAAGGAGGCTAAATACAAGTTTATGAAAGGAGAGTATACTGAATGAAAGAAATTAAGCAGAGGCTAAGGATGGCAGAAGAAAATATTAGCTGACAACTAAACAGAGGAAACTTGAGGCTGATGATGTCAGGCAAGCAGGTGGATTTTAACATTGCCAGCACACCAGTATTCTGTGAAGGTAAATGTTCTTTCAGAGTGGAACCCATCAGCAACAAACAGAATAAACAAAGGTGAAAGAGAGAAGCACAGCAGAGAGTGTTTAACGGAGGGACTGCAGAAAGAAAGAATGTTTCATAAAATCCAAGGCACAACGGGAGATCAAAAAGGATAAAGGTGAAAGAGTAAATCGACGTATGTGAAGTTTCAGCAGAACAACTCCTGTAAGGTATCAAAGGCCGAGGTCCTTCTCCAGCGCTGCCTGGGAGCTGGATCAACAGGTGAAGGT